TATATAACATTATTAGTTGATTAATAATATTGCGAATTAAATCTGGTAGAGACTCCTTGAAGTGTTTCATATCACTTCAAAATGTTAATTTTAGATTTTTCCATTTGACAGATTTGTTTTACAAATTCTTTTTATGCCTACAAATTCTATAAATTTTTATTAGAATCAAATTTCCGTTACATTAATTTATAAAGAGTAGCTAACTTATTCTCTTCCTACATTCAGCTCTGCAAAATAACTGCATTGAAATGTGCCTCGTCAATTAAACAAATGCTATGTCCGTGAAATATGTAACAGTAGAAACTTAAGAATTGTTCATACATCGGACTATGTAAATTAACCTTTTTAGTTTCTGGACAAGCACAACATGGCTTAGGTTTTTTTAGATCATTATCCTTCGATGATATCGAACATCCTTTACCGTCACTCATCTCTAAAATAAGATTGAAGTAAAAGTCCCAGTTGAACTAATTTTCATTCGTGCATAAATAAGTCATAGTAAATTAATTGGAGCCAAATACATTTCTTGTTAACATTTTGTCCAAAGAATGCATGAATTATTTAGAAAATGCTCTGCAAATAAGAATAATCTATAAGAATAGGAGTGCATGAGTTAAATCCTCAAAAGAGGCTGAAAAAACGCTTCTAACTGCACGAATCCCTGTCTTATTTTCCACACAACAATTTCAACTGCAAATTTCTGAAATTCGGTTGAAAAAGCAGTAAGCTGTTCATGGTGTGAGCAGAAATTTTTCAAAGAAAAAGAAATTTGCTTAAGCATTTATTTATGTAGTCATGCAAAAACATAGAGGCAATGAAAGAAATCAGAAAAAACATTAATATGAACTGATCAGTCCTTAAACTGCTGAAAATCCTAACAACGCGAAACGGAGGTTCGGAAACATCAAATGCTAGGTAATCTATGAATATAAAAGAGGAAACAAGAAGAGGGATTCTGGTGGCATCGGATCAGAAAATTTGCCTTGAAGCAAAAGTATTAAACAGCCGAAAAATTGGACAATAATTACAAAAGTAACCTGATTATTTTCCGAAAACGATATCAATATCAATGATTTAGAGTAATATTCTAACATGAAAATATAGATGTTTTAATATATGTCTGCCTTATTTCAGTAAAGAGATAAATGAATAAGCCAATAATTTAATTGGTTGCTTACAATTGCTAAAAAAAAGTTCATCTAGACAGATAATATCAGAACAACATTAAGAAAGACTTTCGAGGATTACACTCTCTTGAAAAAAAAACAACACAAGTGGAACAGACAGCAATTAAATTTGCAATTTTTAGTAGCACAAGACAATACATTTCCGGAAAATAGAAACACGATAAAAATGTCAGCTTGTAGCGTACGAAATGGTAAGAAGAAATATGAAGTCCCGTACCGAAACGAAAAGTTACTCATCAGCTATTTGAGGTTCAATGATAGTTTTCACGTAGAAGAACGTACAGAGAGTGTTTATAAAAATTTTAATAAAATCTTGGAAAATATTATTATGAAAATGATAACAAAACCAAAATTATCGATTTTTATCTTGTGTTGCAAATCCAAACCAGGAATTTTTCCCTGTCAAGACGATACCATCAATTTCGTTCCACCTAAAAATGAGTTCAACAAAAGTGGAATCAAAATTCAGATTCTACATTTCAAGTTCAATTATCCTATTAATGTTTAAAGGCTAATTTAAAACCTAAACTTCAGAACATCCTTTAAAACAAAGAAATAAAATTCGGCCCTTATATGAAATTTAAGTTTAAAATTAAACATAACGCAAACATCGTGCAACGTTGTAACATTCATAAACAGACCGCCTTCAAAATTTATGAAAGAAAAAATGATTGAAGATAATTATTTTGGAGATGAAAGATGAAAACGACCTGCCTAACTGTACTGCATAATACATGATAAAAAATATAACTTCATCCAAAAACATAATCAGTGGCTCTCGATAAATCCCACCAATTACAGCTCAATGCCGAAATAGCATCCTCCTGTAAGACTTGTAATCAATAAGAAAAACAAATTCAAGGCATGAAAACCTGAACTTTAGACTTTTTTATTTTGACTGCTTCAACTCTTGCAAATTTAACCTGTTTGACTCCCATATCCTTCAGTTTGTCGATTTTGTTCCAGAACTCGTCGTCCCGTTTGCCTTCGGCTTTGGCATAATGCTGTGCCCAAAATCGCGCTGTTCGCTAAATTTAACAATTTACATATCCGAATTAAAAAATCAACCAAAAGAAATAATTATTAGTCTAACTTTGTAAAGTTGTGCATTATCCATGTACTGCCTGGCAACAACAGCATCCTGTGGGTCATTCGGTTCTGGCAAAGTTAACAGTGCCTGGATACTCAGCAACACTGTACGCAAAGTTAGGGAAGCGGCCCTGAAAAAAGCTGAAATATGTGAAACGAAAACTTGAAATAATAAAGCGCCAATCGAAAAATCAATTTTTATCAATAAACATATTTACAAAACCGCTGAAGTTGCGAATAAATCCAAAGAATTTCACTTCTCTAATTTAAAATTTTTTTCGTGGAAAAAAAAAGACGGCAAAATTTTCGCATTCAAGAACTTACCACTGCTCTTTTAATATATCAAGACAAATCGTCCCAGTTTGTGAGCTGATATTTGGATGCCAAATTTTTGTGATAAATTTGCACTAGAAACAAATGCCATATATTTATTAAACATTTTTGCGTTCTTAGCAAATTTTTGAAACTAATCCAATGAAAAAATAAGAAAACTTTAGTGATCGGTGGGTTAAATGAAGAAAAAACAATCGGGTGCTCTGGTGGAAAGTAAAGCACAGGACTGTTTTTTACTGGAAAGTAAAAATAGAATTGAATGCTTCTAAACGTATAAATCGTCATTGACGAAACAATCAGATTACTTCAGGAGAAAAAAGAGGAATTCAAGACACATAAATAATTTTTGACTTTCCAAGAAATACTCACTATAGGTGGCTGGAAGGGATATTCGTCTGGAATTGTGATATCCAAAGCGTAAGTACCACCTTCGTACGGACTATCTGGTGGGCCTCGTATCTCCCCACGTATTTTTGTAAGCGAGTCATTACGAATTTCAATCATAACGCCTGTTTCAGCTAGCTGCAAAGTCTTTTTGTAAACCAACAAAATTCTTCTTTATAATCTCAAGAAAATATCAAAAAAATTACAATCGTTTTTTGTTTTAAATAACGATTTAATGCATCGTTTCTTCAGTTACTCAAACTATTATATCTTCATACACAGAAATCAAATGGAAGGTGTTAATTTTCAGGTTGAAAATATTGACATATATATATATATATATATATTGAAAAATGAGGCAAACCTCTTTATTAGTGATGATTTCTTTGCATTCTCGTTGTACGCGCGAGAAAGCGATATTCTGAGACATGGTGATAATGGCCTAGTTTGGATCGATTAACTGAAAACCAACGTTTCTAAAATCAAGTACTTCAAACAGAAATTATTTTGACGATGCGAAATTGGCCTAGATAGGTTTAGGAAAAATGAAAAACTTGCAGCCAATTCTTCCTACTGATAATTAAAGATTTCTTCCCGTCATTGTAGCAGTCACATTCTTCCCATCACTGTAGCACTTAATTACGGTATCTTTAAGGTCCTGCCCAAATGCGGTTTATCGTACATCGAACAATTGGACGTCAAACATTTTACCAGCACACTGAATTAACTTAAGCTTTATATTTTCACGAAAGTGTCGTAATTTTTCACAAGGCCGCGAGACAGTTGTGAAATGAAAGTGTTGAAATTTGTATAAGAAATTAGTGTAGTTGCAGTGCTCATTGAATTTATTCCGGGTAACTTTATTTACTTGTTATGCTAATTCCGGATGTTATTTATTGTCATCCTGGACAGCGTTGTTTACTTGTTATGCTAATTTCGAGTAACGTTATTATGCTAATTTCGGATGAAACTGTTTATTTGTTGAATCGATCCCCGTTGGTGTTATTTTTTGCTTTTTAGTTGATTTCAGGTGATTTTGTATACTTGTTAAGTTATTTCCAAATTAGGATGGGCAAGTCAACGAGGAAGAAGGGGACAGGTTATACAAAGAAAGAACGAGAACGGGGAGCGTTCGAGAAGTCAAATCCGCAAACGAAGTGTTGGATATTTGGTGTTACACTCACGGGTTCGTAATATGCTTACTTATTCCATGGGTTTATTAAAGGCTAAGTATGGTGGCAGTGATCTTTGATATTTTGAAGTTACATGAAATGCTAAACTGATGTTGATTGCGGAAGGCTGTACTTAATCATCCACAATTATTTATATAATTGTAACTTCGAAACAAAAAACTTCATCAATATGGTGCTGTTGTAGGTATGACTAACCTTGTGCAAGTTATATATAAAAGCGCTATTGTTCGTCGTTCTCACATATTTACATAAGCTTTATTTGGTCGTATTCTATTAGTTTTTATCGATAGAAATCTATGTGGCGAAAGAATATTTTTTGTCTTATAATGTTTCGAAAATTTTCATGGATTACGAAAATTTTCATGGAAAATTTTTCGAAAAATTCTGCACTTGGAATTTTTTCTTTTTGATTGAATTTTATGATAGGCTGCGCTAAGGTAGGCATTAATGACAATTTTTCATATTTATGCAGATTTTAATAATTATTATGTATCAAATACTTTTATACAGTAGTAACATTAAACGACGGTATTATTAACAAATTTGAATTTCACGACGGCTTCAGCATTACCATTCATATCTGAAAACTAGTTTTTATTTTGTTTGATAGCAGAAAAGTCCACAACATCGTAGAGAAGCTGTTAGGGGATCTCTGTTGTAATCTTCTCTTTAAAAACTTCAAGAAACAGTATTAATCAGTAGCTTCAAGCTACATTTTTCATGAATCGAGACTTTTGAATACACAGTTTGTAGCAAAAATACATCTTAAAACTCTTGAAATGAACCATTCTGCTCCTGAAAACGTTTGGCACATCTAACATCTCGGAAGCCTCTGTTTGGAAAAAAACACCTGCCTTTCCTTCGTCTTCTTGATGCTTGGATTGTAACATCCAGCGAAGGTCCTATTCATCCGTCGGAAGAATAGTTCAATTTCCTAAATTTTCACTACTAATTATAAAACCTAGTTTCAACGAATTTGTGCAAAATTTTATCAGAAAAATGAATAACGCATCAACCTGCTGTTTTGCGAGACTTGTTTTCTCAATGTTATCGCGATAGAAATCCTTGATTTTATCAATTAACTCAAGCCTTCTTAATTTTTCCATTGCCCTACAATTATTTTTTTTACGAAAACTTTATATATATATATATTGCAGTAATGATATTTATCTTGGTACCTTACTGATCTTTCTAATGGACAATTTAAATTTATTTGAATTCCAAAGATTTTATTAGAATTTTTATTATAATTGGTTTTAAAGTTACAGTAACCTTCTTTGTGCTTGACTTAAACTATGGATTATTTCTTTTAGAGCTTCGGGCACATTATTTTCATTGTTCCATTTGTCAAATTCCATGTTCATTTCTGAGTCGTCATCTAGTTTGTTTTTAATAAAATCATTGACAAGCATGGGTTCATTGTTATCGGTAGCCTGCTGCAGATGTTCCAACTCAGTCTCACCACAGCGATCCAGTACTGCTCGAACGCATTTAGGCTCATTAGCATAGCATTCAAATTTATCGTTCTTTCTACTGAAACAAATGAACAGTAAATTTCTTCATCGCAATTTCATCGTGCATGTTTTCTTGTCTAGGTAGTGTATTGTAGTGAGCCTAACAATGTTTGTAAACACATAGGCATCTGGAAGTTATAGGCAAAATAAAAACAAATTTGCTCATGAGCGTAGTTTTTTTTGTTACTTGGATGAAGAAAAAAGCGAATTCTATCGAAGATTGAACCACAGAATAGATTGAATATCATGACTTGATGATTAACATAAATGTTCAATCCATATACAAAGATGGAGATGGAGCATCAAATTAGATGAGAAGCTGATGAGGTGCAGCACTGCTAAAAGTGTACTTAAAGTGTACCATAGCCAAAGCTCGCATTATAGAGAAATGAATAGATGATGATACAAATGAATTTGGCATGTTATTATGATTTCAGACCTTAGGCTTATAAAGACTTAGTATTTTGCTATTAAATGATGCATTTTTTGTTAAGTAGGTAATAGGTAAATTTTGAATGGACTTTCAAAAATAGAAAAACATTTTTGTACTTTTGCTATTCTTTGAACGATCTTTTCTCTTAAATATTTCCCAGATTTTTGGAGCGAATTTCTAAAGACGTACTCAAACCATTTCCTGATTATATTCCAGAGCCAAATGAGAATATTTTTTTCTGCTTCTTTCTTTGCACGTTTCTCGCTGAAGTATTCTAAAATGGCATATTGGTCGATTTGCGGTAATTCTCGTTCAACTTTTGTGTTCCACAGAGCTTGAATAATGCTATATATGGTAGCATTCTGAAATTGAAATCATTAATTCTTCGTGAAATATGCTGAGGCATTAATGAGATAACATAAGAGTTTAGGAGGAAGCAGAAAAGAAAAAAATAAAGAGGTTTACTCGGTATGCTTCAACATATTTAAATTGTTCTTGCGTGAAATTCAGCGGTACAGCTGCGTTCGAGAAGGTTTCACCAATGTCAGCACCAAAATTTCCTGGCTCTCTTTGTGAACCATTTACGAAACTCTTCAGTGGTTTATCTTTTGCTTGAAACAACTGTAAATTCAAATTGAAAACTAATTTCTTAACTTGATTAAGTCGAAAAGGGATTTTGTAAAGAATGATGTGGTGGACTTTTATACTGCACTGCATTAAAGCTATCCAATTTTAAAGCACCAAAACAACTTAAGTAATTAAGGAAGAATGCTAGATTCTTAAGTAATACGCTTACTAAACTTTTAATCTGCGTAATATCTTTTTTTTAGTTGAACTAAAATAAGTGCTGATGAAGGATTATTTGTTAAAAGTGCAGAAGGAATGTGGGATGAGATACTTTTGTCGTGGTGCAGATTGAAACAATGTATCATAAATACGTAAACATCTTTCTTCTCCATTCTGTTCTATGATAGTCCTAAGAATAAACATTATTTTGACAAGACTTCATTACTACTTACTTCAGCCCGTTTACGGTCAATCATGACTTTGAGAGAAGCGTAATTCTTTTCACACAGATACCTATCCAATATTTCACTTTCTGTACTGCTTAAATTATTTAACAAATGGAAGATCAAATTTGATGAGCTGATAATTGTATCGTTGTTCAAATGTTCCTCCTTCACAATGCTTTCAACTGATGATGTTGTTGTCACTGCAATTAAACTGACGACGGATTTAATTTGTACATAAAAATTCAACTCAAAAATTTAAGCTGCTTATAGATTACCGTTCTTTAGTTTACTTTTTTACTTAGAAGATTGACTTTTATTCATTTTCCTTTTTTTATGCTTACTTTGCTCATTTTTCTTTTCTTAAGTCTTAAACTCCAACTAAATCTTATTTTTCACTTTGTTTTTACTTTGTATTTAGAAAAAACTTGTTGAGTGAGATCGATCATTCCTTATGTTTGAGTGCTGCAATTTTCGCAAAGATATTAAACCGATTTCGGAAAGTTTTTCTAAGAATAATGAATTGATTTGAGGAAGTGAGTGACACATATATGAGGTATGAAAGTAATTTAATATAATGTTACTCAAAGGGAGGATATGTTGACAGATTCATGCTTTTCACTGTAACTATTATTTTCACTTCAGGTTACACAGCTCATTCTTTTTCCTCATTAGAAATTATAAAGCGCGCTTTACTGTTAACTTTTTTTGAAAAAGTAAGACGTGGTGCTAGCAAAGTGATTGGGAGCGAATGCATGCTCTAAAGATTTTATTAGCTACTTAAATTATATTATCTCCATTCAGGAAGTGAAATAGACAACCCACTACTTATTATAATAGTTTTAATGGAATATTCCGTATTTAATTTTCTAGTAATTTTAAAGATTTTTCTAAGTGCACTTTTCTAAATTTACTACATTCTGGATATAAAAAGATTTTAACTGTTTGTCAAGTTATTTCTATTAATCGATTTGGTTATTTACTGTTGGTTATTCGACTGTGTGATCTTCTCCTATGGGATTTTTTTCGGTTTTATGAAGCTTTTGTACATCTGTTTTGGTACATTTGAATATCAACCAACAAATGTCACAACCCGGATAGAATTTCTTTAGAATTAATTTTAGACTGTGTAAAATACTGCAACATACCCCAGAAATCAATCGTCCAGAAGACGCAGAAAATGATGATTCTGCTATTGAATTCCATACAATGTGGGATGAAACTGAAATTTTTCAAAGAAAAACCAACAGACTCATTCTAATAAGCAATTTTGACTTATAAAATAATAAAATATTACCCCTTATAACTCTTTCTTCTGCGAATGAGTAGAACATTGAAACACTGAGTTACAGAGTGTAGAAATTAAAGTATTTCAAAAATTTAAATTCCAAATTAGGGCAAATCAATAAAGAATGGGTTAATATGATGACTATCCCGTAATATTTTAATGGTAAGAAAGTAACTGTTGTTGGAAAAATGATTTCGAGAGTAGCTTGAATTTAATTTTTTTTCACCAAATAGCAGTTTTCGCTCTTTTTTGATTTCAATTGAACATACCAGCAAAGTATAATGGTCGATAGACTTTGTGCTTTCTTAGAAATATCAAGTCTCAAAAGCATAAGTAAACATTTTCAGCGAATTCCGATGAAAAAATATCTGCAGAAACGTTTACATGAATTACTTCCAATTTGTTTCGTCCAGTTTTACTATCCAAAGTTCAAAGAAAAAATCCTCGATCCTGAAAGTAGTTAATTTTCGGTAATGCATGAGTGATAGACTGGTATACAGATAATCATTTGTGATTAGTTATTAAAGAGTGTGTATAATTACCGACTAACTGTCGGGGCAAATTTAAAACGATGATAATGACGAATTTAATGCGTAGGAAAATGAAATTTTGCTAATTTAAAATTTGCTCATAAAATATTACCAGAAGAAGGAGAATAAAAAGCTAACCATATTAGGTAATTAAAAGAGAAAATCCGATGAAGAAGCTTGATAAACTGTCATCAACCATCAGCAAGTAAAATTTAATTTTTTTTCATACCTAATAAACATAGTTTTCGAGACTAGTAGAAATTACAGTTTAAAAAAAGTTTGAACACCAATAACATTTAGAATCAAATGAAGTGAATTATGAGTTCTCTAGATAATTTCTCCTAATAAAAAGTTATCTAAGAAGGGAGGAATCATTAACAGCGCAAAATATAAAAACGTCCAATTTACTAAAACAATTAATGTGTGTATTATAAAAAATATTGGTTGTAAAGGTATCGAGAATCGTCACACTATGACCTTGACTTAATTTTTCTATTGCCGCTTATCTCCTCAGGATGATATAGACAAATGAATTATTTAATGTCTTATAAAATAATAATATGGAGATAGTTATATTCTTCGCAAAAAATATTACAAATAAATGGATGAAAACTGTCAGCTTCAATCAGTTCCAAAACTATATAAGATATTTATCTTATATATATATAGCAAGTGGCTAATTACGGCGTGACTTATTTATCGGAATATTATATTTATTTTATTCCAGCGAGTCTTCTTGGTTTGATTAACTGAACTTAACAGGCATTTTATTCTCTTACTTACTTTTTATTCTTATTAATGATAATATTTTCTATTTCATTAAATTAGCAAAATTTCATTTGCTTACACGATAAATTCATTATTTTCTAGTTCTTATCGATGTGTCACTAAATAAATGCCTGGAATGGGAAGTTGATTTCAACTTGTAGTAGATTTCGATGAAAGTGAAATAAATTATTAAAAAGAGAGTGAAAGGATTAGATTTGTTAATGTGGAGAAGGCATGAGGATCTGGAAGAGATTAATAACCTGGTTGTGCTTCATTAGTTTCTTTTGAGATTGCAACCGCAACTATTACTAAGATTTTCGATTTTTTCAATTTGGAATTCAATTTCAGCACTCATACCGGCAATATTAAATTATTCACATATCAATACTCTATTCGAAAATGATCGACATTTTTCCCATTTGGCCGATTTTGAACGTGAAATGGCTTACCGGACGGAAATGGTTAGTTTTTTCTTCACATTGACTGATAATACAATGTAGTGGTAATAATAGTATGTTGAGTAAATAGTTACTAGACAGTAAACATTAAAAAATATATTAAACAAATATCGAAAATAGACATTTCAAAAAAAAAAAAGGGTTGAACAAAAAGGACAATGGTCATTCTAAACTTATGGGTCACACAAAATTGAAGAAGTCCACAAAAAATGAATGATTATTTTGATGAGCTTCCAAATTAAAAAGTAAATATAGAAAAAAGCGATTAAGTAAACAAAGAACAAAATCTGGAAAGTAAATAATTTAGCGAATAAGTAAGTAATAGATATGTTTTAAACGATTTAGCTATTACTCATTTAATATTTGCTGCTCAAATGTAATTCGTTCTAAATTTTAATGTCTTTAGTGATAATTCATAAATATGTAAATAATAGTAGTAAGAATCAATTTTTGAAACTTTACAAATGAATTTTATATTGAAAAGATGAAATGGGAATATAATTTTGGATATGGATTTGAAAACGAACAATGGTTGTGTTAATCTACACATTTTGTAGATTACTGCGTCTGTCATGAATAAGAAAATCTTTGTTTCATTTAATGACAAAACAGGAACTAAGAGAATGAAGTCGAGGAAAATGGAAAGTATAATTTACAACTAGTAATAGATTAAATATTTTTTTCAAGATCATTCATTACGTGCTTTCTTTGCAGTGCTGAAGCTTTGTGTTCATATTCGTTAGTATTTGAAAACTAATTTTTTAAGACATGTTGCAGTAATAAATTTAAATTAACCATGCGAAATAGTTAAAGTAATGTATTGGAAGCTCTTATCAAGTTTTTTTCTAGAAGAAAAAGATGAAAGTATACCAAGGACTAGAAAGATTAACTTATTTGGGAAAAGTAAACGGTTGACTAGGCAATATAGGAATGTAAGCAAAGCTGATATCTGAGAAAGAAAACGAAATTAGTGAAAAGGAGTAAGTGAAGTAAGATAAGAAAGAGTTATGGGAAACAATTAATTTCTGAATTTTATTGCTTCATGAAAACTGAAACTATTCTTACAGCTCATATTGTTTGATAAAAGTGTCACTTTTGTCAATGATAATTTTGAATAGTAGAGTGGGGTAGTGCTGATTCAGTCATTAATCTTTGTAAATGTTTTATGACTGGAACAGAAGTATAGAAATGTTCGTGACATCCTTCCATCTATTACTTAGAAACTTTTTTCAGTTTACTTGTTGGAAGCACTTTGAATCCTTCCTTAGAAATTAGATGGTTTGGGTGTAGCCGTGTGTTGTGACTTGAAAATACTTCACACCGGATGAAAAATAAGACGAGAAAGAAGAGAGTAACGACGACATCTTTGAAAATAAAAAGTAGCAGTGACAATGATAATAACGATACTGATGATGAAAGAGATGTTTATTGTATTTTCATGAAGTGGTAATAGTTGTTTTCATGTATGATGAAAGAAAGGGAGGTACTAGTAGCAATGTTTAAAAATAGTGCAGAGAGCTTTGTTGTGACAGTTGTATATATATGTGTGTGTGTGTATGTATGTGTATGTGTATGTGTATTTGTGTGTGTATGTGTATATGTGTATGTGTATGTGTATGTGTATGTATATGTGTGATGATATACATTAAACGAGAGATTACTACTACCGGAGTATAAGAAACGATGGACATGATTGTTGTATAAAGAAAAGAGAAAGCATGTTTCTTCGACAAAGTGATAGTTGGTATCACTAACAATTATGGTTGTGCGGCATCAAATCGAGTTCTTTTTCGAGCTGCTGTAGCACTGACAAACCTGCCACCATCCCAAAAACTCTACATCTCCTTATAGTGTTGACTCTTCCGAATTCATCAAAAATGATGTGTAGTGTCAGTACATGATATGGGTGCCTTTACTCTTTCAACATATCATTCAATTCTGGCCTGATACATACTCTGGGAGCACAAACAGTAAACGGTTTTCCTTCTTTCCTTTTCTAACTTTCTTCATTCTCTCAGCTCTTCTCTCACATATTTCTTCTGTCGAGCACTGATGGGAGTGATGATGAGTAATAAAATTGTTCTGGAAATGAAGAGATTCTTATCGGCAGTGTCGATTGTTGTTTTTCCGGTCATCGTAACAACGAGAGAAATACGAAGAACAGCAGTTGATGTATCGCACACTATTGTTATTTATCCTAAATTTCTCTAGTTCATTGTTTAAGATTTGAGAAGACTGTACTGTAGGTCATAGCCTTGACCAATACCTGAACCGGATGTTATTTCGATCATCCGGCTTGGACTTTATGAGTGGGTTCAATTCGTAATTGCATTTTTATTGCTGTTATATGCTTTAAAAGGATTAACGGTTAAGATATATTCAAATGCAGACTGCTTTGACACTTGAATATGCTTGAAAAAAGATTTAAACAACAGCTTTCAATATTTGAAAAGAGGGCTTTCGCAGTAAATTGTAACTTCACATCACATTTAAATGGAAATTCGCAACGGCGGCAATCATATATGAATCATTCCTAATGTGACAAAATTTAGTGATGTTTGCTTAGAACACAGCGTATTTAGATGAAATCCAAACTTACTGAATGGTACCTATAAAATAATCATGTTATATACTAGTTAATAATTGTCCAGTGGTTTGCTTCACTTCATATGGCTGCTTTTTCATTTTCTGGAATATCTACATGAACTGTAACATAATAAAAATGAACATCGAGCACCTTAGGATGATTCTACGGTATAGCGAATTATGAAATGAGATTTGCCATCCCAGATGGAAATTTTGATTAGCTGGAATCGGCCTTATCACCGATGAATTAATCAGTGAGAATTGAAAACAATGCTGGAAAGATTCAGAAATGAGTGGATCATTTTGTCAGAATCTTGACAAATAGATTCTCTTAGGAATTGAATCTTTGGCTGTCGAATGTTAATCCCACAAATTAAATTTGTGATAATGTAACAAATAAAGATTATTTGGAAATCAGATGCATTAGTTGCATATTTATCATACTGGTATTAAAAAAGTTTAAAAATGATATTTTAAAACCAGAAGGAAATTTTGAATAATTTTCTTTCCCTTTTTGTGCTTTACTCATCAACCTAGAAGAAAAAGATCAACCTAAATAACCTGGATTTTTTTCTGATTTCTTCCTATCATAAATATTTTTTTACTATTCTTCTCGTGTTGATAACGATGATCTGTTATTTCAAAATATTTTATTGATTTCAAATGAGCTTTCTTTCTGCTTATTTTTCATTAGCAATTGAAACAGAATTTTGATTAAACTTTGATTTAAAATCTCAATAATAAAAAAATGCACTTCATCAGTGAATGAAGGAAGTATTAAAAACAATGATATCACTTTTAAAAAGCTGTGAATTATAAGTAACGAAGAAGTTTAATGAAAAAAAGAGGAAGATAGAAGATTAATTTTAACTAAAAACGGGAGGTGACGTATTTTTCGACAAAGTATTTTGAAATTAAGACAAATGTTCATTATCTTTTGTTTCAGCTTATCATTTATTTTTATCTTTTGTTTTCTAATTTCGTGACATTTTCTGAAGAAAAAATTGAGGAAAATTTTTTTTATATTTGAATTCACGGTTTTCTTAAATTCTTTTTATATAATCATGCGACGACGTGTGATTTAATGAAAATATTTCATAACATCTGAAATTTCTAAATAAAAAATTGGTAGTTTTCCGAAATGGATTTGGCCTTTTAGTATAACCTATCATTAAAACACTGCTTCCGTTTCATTTACGACGGTTGAGCAGAGTGATATTCACAGCAAAACAGCAGAAGAATGAATATATATACATAGGTGATACAAGTCATACCAGAAATGAACTCTGTTTTATTAGCAATATGGTATGGAAACCTTAGTTTTATCTCTTATCGAATATTTATTGTATCGTTTGTGGCAATATACTTGTGGAGATGTTATTAAACGGAAAGACTGATTCATACAAGTAACGGATAGTATTGATGACGAATGCAAATAATACATACTAAAATCTTTGTAGTAAATGAATAAGTCATTGGTATTATCATGAAAACTGCGAATACATCTGATCCGTTTGTAAGTGCTGATAACCTTAAGAAATCTCAAAAAAAGCAATTCTGCAGGGATATTACGATGAAACTCGACTTTAGTACTTATGTGATTACGGAAGGCTGAATAGAAATGTAATTTTTTATTATGAAACATTGATATTTTCGTAGCTTATGTATTTCAATTTATTTTAGGGATTATATTATTCATTTTATAAAAAATTGATCGGCGAATCATCTTTGTTGGAAGCGCTGAATCAAATAACGAACGATAACGTAACAGAATATGGTCATACTATTAATACATTGAAACGTTTTAATCTTTATCCTGAGGTAAAACTAGTTTTTTCCTAGTTTTTTAAAGTTCAATCCAAATTATGGCCATTTGTCTATTAATTGATCAGGATAATGGTGAAGTGGATAACAATACAGCTTATTAATGCAAATATGTGCTAATATAAATGTACGGCTATTAGATATAAATTATTAGCAGCAATATCTTTTTAAGGCTATCAGCAGATGGTGTACTGAAATTGCTGAACTGAAATTGAAAATAAAAGAAATTTTGGTTCGATAATAGAAATTTTTGAAAAAATGAAAACTTAAATTTCGGAACGGTAGTAATAGTTAAATGAATATAGACTTTTTTTTAACTGTCGTTTATTATTTTCAGGTGATTTTAGGTATAGCTTTCAAATTATTCAAAAAGATAGCTAATGAAAGTCATTGGGTGGTAGAACAATGCTGGCAAGTCAACCGGGGTGGCGAACTACCACCCGTGATCAGCTGTGAAGGTTAATCGTTGATAACATGATTTATTCTCCAAATTGCCTTTTTCATCATAGTCTTATTTTGAACGTTGACTAAAGTTAGGATTTCAAACATAGAGAGTGGTACAATAAATATGCATTACATATTATCGATTTCATGATTCAATTAAAATTTCAGGAATCGGTAATGAGCATTATTTTTATATCACAATGGTTTTCGCCTTGGCAAGTACAGTAGCTTCAACGATATTCTTATCTGGAGTTTTACTCAGGTCATATTGCTATTATTTTCGCTTAGTGCCTTTGAGTATGGATATGGAAGAAGGATAAAAGATGTGGACAGACTAAGCAAAGATAAAAACTTAGCGGTAAATAGTGTTATTAAATTCGTCAAAGTATAAGTATCAAACTGAATCTGGGCAAAGATAAATATATATATATACATCGAAAGGCAGATATCTATGGCGAAATATTAGGCGAAATTTTTTTTCTATACCATAAATAGAGACAGTATATCATCTTTCCATAGTATGAAAAGCAATAATAAGTTTTAAATGGATCGATAAGAAATTGAAATCGATAGGTTTCGAAGCACAAAATAGAAATTGATATAGTTACATCATAGTTGTTTGAATACATTGAAAGGCAACTGTCGCAGAGAAAATGCTAGCATAAAACTTTTCTCAGGAATAAAATGGAGGCCATATGGATCTTCCACTGTATCATTATCGATATGTTAGGCCAGCTTATAACTGAATAATTGCTGAGTACTACTGTTTGATTGAGCATTGATAATGCTACTATTTTTACTATTCGATTGGCACTTTGTTTCAGTCATGAATCAAATGGTGGTTGTTACGGCAACTGTCAATTGATTGCTAAATTGAGTTGCAAATCGCAATAGTTCTCTATCAAAACTAGCTTGTAGCATTGGAATTATGCTGAGACTTAATGAGACTAAGGAAAAATAAAGTACTCTAGTTCGTGAATGTCCAAGAAATAGTGCAGCTGAGAAGTGTTACGATCGAGAAATACTACAACTGATATAACCAAGCTTTCAGCTATAAAAAAAATGATTGCTGCACGACTGAAGCTTAACTGACTTTAGAAATGATTTTTAGTCACAAATTATTTTCAAATGCTTCTAACAACCAGATCTTTAGTTACAAATGCCGAGGAATCCTTGACGCTCATTGTTTACTCTTCTGCTGAAATGTTCTTTTTTGAAGGATGAAATTTTCACGATTTTCTTTAATTACTTTGAAATAATTGCAACAAATATTAAAAAGTGATTTTGAGGATATGCACTATTATGTGATGTTTGCTCTGACTATTTGAAAGTGAATTCAAAAAGAATAAAGCAGTTCGTATTTTGTATTATGGAAGAGTGTTAATAACTAATAATTTGCGGAGAGGATGTAGGTCAGCATATCTAGCATTTTGCCACCGATTTTGAACAAAATTTTAAAGCAGAAACATTAGCATGATTGTATATGAAATGCTTGATGATATCGAATAATGTTGATACCTCAGCATTTTTTTCCTCTAGTAATTCAGTCGAATTAGTTCTATAATAAGTATGCTGTGGAGCTTTTATTTTGATAAGTCGAAAACATCTCATCGTCCAATGTATTGTGTAATGGTTGGATTCAAAAGTTCATTTAAGATATGGAAAAACTCCATATAACAAGTAAAGAAGCTGAAAAACAAAATGAATAATAAGTATAAAAACTTGATAAGATAAATTATGCATGTAGAAATTTAGGAATTTACATATATTCAGAAGATTCACATTCGTAGACTAAATAGACTTGCTCAATTCTTCGACATCACAGAAAAGTGATTTGCCAGTAGTAGAAGTTATTAGTTTTACTTTGTTAGATTTAACATGACTATATTTTTGTATGTCTAGTTTTTTTTCATTTTCCAAACTGTAATCTATATTCAACAGTTAAGACAAGCTTTCTTTAAATTGAAAAAACCGCAGCGAGTTTTGTCAAAATTCACAGATCGAAATTACCAGTTAGTTTTCAGCAAAAAGAAATCTACTAACAATAAATATGTATTTAATTTCAGCGATACAGTATTAGGTGGCATACTTGCAGTTTGCTGTTTTTTTTTCAATCATGGACAAGCCACAAGGGTGCAGTGGACTCCTCCACTTCGCGAATCCTTTGGCTATCCCATTTTTCTAGCTCAGATACTTGTCGTCACGTATGTATTAAAGTAAGAATTTGATTTCAATAATGAATCTAACTTTGAGTTTCTTTGCAGTGAATTTGACTTCAAGGAAAAGGAATGGATCATTTTGAATGGCTGTTGAAATCCAAATTTCTATCTGATTTTCAGACATAATAAAAATGGCTTCTTGTGGTCTCTTCTCATCGCGTATTTCACAACTACTTTTATGCTTTTTTGGCAGGTATGTGTTACGGTGATATGAAAACTTATATTGTTTAGTTAAAAAAGGCACTATATATGTGAAAACATTCTTGGAAGGTTTTCAGAATTCATGAAGAAAAAGCCTTGCTGCAATTTTTTGTAATCTTTTTTATTACACATCTTATAATTTTAGTTCTCTGCATTTGCACTCACCACTCAAGTGGGCTCGCTTTTCGCTACTTTTATCCTTGATTTTATCCCTGTTAGGACGATGAGTACTATTGTATATGGTTATGCGGTATGTTTGATTGAAAGCTATAAATTTTTAAAAAATTTTTTGAATTCAAAATTTTCTATCAGTTAACTTGAAATTCTTGTGCCAAATTATGTATGCTTATATCGATTGATTACAGGTAGCATTTTTTACTGCATTTGTGCTGTTATTTGGTAATGAAATGTTGCTTACATCATTCTACTTGTCCAGCATCATCACTTTGTGGGTAGGCCTTTTTACCCACCATTCACTTTTAAGTGCTAAACTTAATAAGGAATTTCGCATTTTAAATTTTAAGTTGTTTTATTCGAGATTGGTTTGAATTTTAAAATCAACATTTATTAATTTATTACAGATAATTTTATCTCTATATCGATATCTATGTCGTATTACAAATCGATTGTTGTTTATAACTGTGAACAGTGCTCTGTTTATTACTGGTACTGTAGGTATCAAATTGACTATAAGTCACTTGTTACATGTAGAGGATGACGTAAGTTTTTGTTCTTTTGCATATACTTCTGAACCGCGTCAAAAGAATAACTACCTTGAGAAAGTTTTTGAATTCCTATTTATTGTTAGGTTATGTAGGGTAAAGAATTTTTCCGAACTGGTATTTATATAACTTCAGGCCCATATAATGGATCTTCTTCGTGCCAAATTTACATCATTTGCAAATTTTCATACACGCTTGTACACGTGTGCCAAGGAATTCGATTTTATAGGAAGCGAGGTAAACTATGAAAGTGCAAAGTTAGGTTGTTGTAGATGTCCTTAAATTCTTAATGATAAATAATTATAACAACATAGGTATGTTCCGAAACAGATGATCAGTTTGAATTTGTAAAACAACTTTTTCAAATTTAGTTTGCAAGATTTTTTTATAGCCATATTAAATTAACATTGATGTTTCTGTCTGTGATTAAGCAAGCGAATACCAGGAGAGTTTTTATAATTTCCAAAAAAATCTAAAATTTAATCAGGATCTAAGAGATCTCATGAGAACATTTCTGTTGCCAGCTGCGGCTTTATCACTTTTCTTCGTCTTCATGTTTTTTGTGCGATATGAACCGCTGATGTACCGAAATAAAACTCGAGTCAAACCACGTGCGGAGGTATTTATTTTATTTAGAAGCGAACTAATTTTCGGGGAAAATGTTACTTTATTTCGATGATTCTTTAATCATTTTGTATTGAGATAACTATATCCTCGGCACTGGAGTGTTATATATTAACTTAGAAGTTATTTTGCAATAAATCACAGTTTCTGACTGTTGATTAAACGTAGAGTTTTTGATTTTTAAATGACAAATATGTGCTGGGAATTAAAGAAGACGGATTTGAAATAGATCATAAAGGACTAGCCGTACTTTGTTCAAGGATTTCACAAATCACATGGAAGCTTATTTCAGATTGTTTACAATATTATCCAGTGCATTTGTTTTACCATCATGGCTTGCCTTATCATGCGTTTAAAATTATTCATGACACCTCATTTATGTATTATTGTGGCAATTTTAGCTAACTATGAGGTGAATCTAATTTTATGTAACACTTTTGGTGTCATACAAAATCATCAAATTGTTTAGTATGGGGATTTCAAAACTATCCCATTTCTGGTTAATCGTTTCTTGTTTTGGTAATTCTTAATTTTCATTTTTACTCTCCTATAAGGATGTGGTCGGCATACTTTGTGATACAAGTAAGTGTGGCTATAGCTCTCTATCTCCAAGTGATTTGAACTACAAATGATCTAATGGGCATAATAAGCCAAGAGACCATGAACAACGCATCTATCTACTGCATAATCTTGGAACTATTGAGTACAATTCACTGAGTGCTTGAACATCTCTAGATAATTTGTTTGTAATATTTCAGTTTGTGGTACATGCTATTCATTTCAATATATCAGGATGGTTGCATCGAATTTTAATTGTTGTATTATTAGCAACTATGGCTTATCAAGGAGCAATAAATATCAAAAAACAGCTGGAAATTCAGGGAGAATATAGTAATCCCGATCAAGAAGCACTTTTTCATTGGATATCTACTAAAACAAAATCAGGTCAATGTTTTTTATGGAGGAAGTGTTCGGAATTGTTTTGATATATCCGAAGATTTCTCGTTACTGCACATAGTTGTGGATCTTAATCGATATAATTTCCAATTATCATATTTTTGTGAGATAACTTGCAGATTCCGTTTTTGCTGGTCCTATGCCAGTTATGGCCAATGTCAAATTGTCTACAGGAAGACCGATCGTGAATCATCCTCATTATGAAGATGCTGGACTGAGGTATTATTTGCTGTTTACTGGAAATCGGTGCTTGTTTTTCCAATGCAACTTTAGCCTGATGAGTCTTTGAAAGAATTAACCATCTCACTTGTTCGAGTCTTGATTCTTTTCCTGGTTCTCTAATGTTTGATTTTTGAGAAATTGGTTTGAGCTACTGATTTTTTATTTTTTAGTAAAATAAGAAATTTTGTTAGCCTGGCTCGCAGAAAATTAAAGTTCTTTTCTAACAGAATTTTATTTTCATGTATCATTTCCATCGATGCTTTTACTATATGTATAATACTTTTACCTTTTACTATATGCATTTCAAGACAATCATGATCTTTTCTTCCGTTTTTAAAAATCAAAGAGCAATAAATGGGATAGTTGTTGTAAAGTTGTTGAAACAGTTTTAATGAGCTTTTTTGTCATAATTTCAAATTCAAATTTTCAGATTTCGAACGCTTAAAGTTTATTCACTATTTAGTCGGAAGCCATTGAGCGAAGTTTATGATGCTTTGAAAAAAATGGGTATCAACTATTACATTTTTCAGCCAAGTTGGTGCGATTCACATGTGTCGATGTTAGTTTTTATTGTTTTTCGAATTTCAAAAACAATCTTTAATACTTAACCTTATGAATAGTAAAATGAGCAAAATAAATAAGTTTTCTTGCATAATCGAAGTTTTTTGTAACTGTGAAATGGTTTATTTTTTGATAAGCGTAAGTTTAGAATTTCCACGAGAATTTAAAATAAAGATGAAATTCGATTTAACGAATTTCTATTCTTTATTCTCTTTATCATCGTATTTTATATTTTTGACAAGATGGTCATAAATTACATTCTTGCACAAATTCATTCTGACCAGTCTGTAAACTTGGAGCTTTTAGCTAAAGTAAAAATAAATAGAATGTGCGAAATCGATATAGAATTTCAAGTTCAAAGAGAGTAGAAAAGGGAAATTAGTACTTGAATGCTGGGATGTGATGGTCAATAGCAATATTGCTCCCTTTTTTTTTTATCCATGAAAATCTTTCCCAATTGTGTTTCGAACATGTATTTTACAATTGCAAGATCTATCAGTGTTTTATGTTAATTGCAGGCCAGAATGCAGCTATCGAGCAATGTGGGATTTGCAAGATCCCGCTAATCGAAAACGTGAATCGTTGTGTGATTTAATTTTGGATGTGCTGAGCGGGCGTCATATGAGAGACCTTACGCCATTTAGGATTGTTTATAGTGCTAGAAGCTATGTAATATTTGAGCTTTGAACATTTTTAGAACTTCTGGAGTTTGTTTGTTCATTCAGTCAATTTATGATTTTCTACTTACAACAATTTTCCCTTTTTTCAATCAGTGAATTTTCTTTCATAGATTTTTTTTTAAAGCACTGGTTTATTTATTTTTTATATTCTCTGTAATGCATTTATCAGTTTGGATATCAGTCTTTGGATTTGCTTTCATTATTATTAAACTGGACTGTATCGTTCATTTGTTATGTCAGTCTTTCTTTCGTCTTTTTTTTTTCCCTTGGATTCTTGAATATTTCAGTTATAAGCACATTACTATTGTATTGGTATTTTCTTACTTAGATCATAACATAATAGTCAATGATTGCAGTTTTAATCAACTTTTCATACTACAAACTGAGTTGGTAGTAATGAGATGGAAATCCTTTTTTTTGTGATAAAGCTAGACATTAATTGTTTTCTATAATTTCATCACTATTGTTATTTTCCTTTTGAACAATGAATATCTTCATGCGGGTTTTGTGATTCCTCGCCCCAGTAATATGGTATTGAATAATTTGTTAAATCATCGAAACTAATTAGTGCATTTATACTCTTTGTAGAGCATTTATCATTTCTCATTTATCAGTTATTTTGCTTTCAATGTTATTAAGTTATCTGTGTTTGCTTGCTTTTCTTTTTTTGACAGCTATTTTGTTGGAATGGAATTGCAACTGTTTTCAATTATTTGTTGAATAACCAAATAAAATGATGAATGAAGTAATATCCTTTACTTTCACTATGATTCAAATAACATATTAAAATTGCGTAGTAATAGATCTATAGATCGATCTCATGAAACAATTTAAACTATCGATATATGTCAGAAACGTCTAATTCTTTTGATTTATCATTAGCAATTTATCTTGGCCATAAACTTCTAATTCTCCTTTGCTCAGCAATAAGATGAATTCGTACCGGGACAGTGAATGATGTAAATGAATTTTAGCAAATTTTCCAGTATCATGGTTTTCATTTTGTTTTCCTTCTTTTCGGTATAGATGTGATATGAAGTTGACATCAACATTTCATCTCCCAAAATTGCTATCCTAATGGATAACTATTGAAATCTCTGCTCATTTGTGCAAACTTATCCAAGAAATTGTAATAACAAAAGATTTAATATGTTACTGACAGTCATATAAAGAAAAATAATTACTATTTATGAGTTAATGAAAAAGCGATAATCAACTTCAAATGAAATCATTGAAAGCAAATAAATTAAATTATTGAGAAAGATAATAAAATCCATGGAGATATTGATAATTTTGACGAAGATTAATTACATTGTGGCATTATTTTCGACATTCGATTTAATGTGATATTAAAAATGAAATTGAAAATAGAATTGAATTTGCTTGATTGTCTCTATCACACATAATTTTGCTGGTTTTGTTCACCGTTTTCTGATTTTAAGAGGGTGGCGCTAAGAATGATGGAAATTTCAAGAGTGAAAGTTTTTAGTAAACAAAATTGTGTGTATGTGTTATATGTATGCATATAGGATGATGATTTGATGATATGGAAGATGGCATTAACAGGGCCGGGAGTTGGAATAGGAGCACGTGTTGGTATTGCGTGATCGAGAAGACCTTGAAAGATTGTCGGTACCTGCCTGGAGAGGGTTAGCTCCCTTTTCAAGGTCGCGCAAATGATTGCGATAATGTATGAAAGAGGACGATTAAGAGGAGGAGACTGCTCTCGATGCTCATCCATTTCAACATCAAATCATGCACCTCCATTTTCGCTAGAATTTACCTGCAATAGGTGACGATTGCCCAATTTGCTTGGGCTTTCACAGTGCTTTTTGGTTCAAGATCAGAAGTTGGTGACCCTCTCTGACCTGATGACCACAGCAACGGTAACATATCATGAGTTACCACCTCTTACAAGTTGGGTATCCGATTCTCAACAACAACAACAGCAACAACAACAACAACAACAACAACAACAACAACAACAACAACAACAGCAAACCCATAATTCACCTTCTCCAACCTCAATTCCAATTACAACATTTGTGGCAACGGTACCATTAGGAATTGAACAAGATCAGCAATCGCCGCAGATTCTTACCGATCATCGACATCCGCAACAACATTCATTGGTTACATCACAAGAAATTTTCTGCACTCAAGCATTGAATCATTATCGTACAGGTCAACTTTAGGTTTTATCATATTTTCGTAATTGCAAGAATTTAGAATTAATTTTAACAATTTTATTGCTCGTAAATTTATATAATTCTATTATCAATAAACTTTTACATATTTATTAGAATTTATTATTAATATTATATTTATTAATCTAACATTTTATCAATGTACCATTTAATGACGAGGTAATTGTTGCTATTAGTATCAATACCGTAATTGTTGCTATTAGTATGCTTCGCTTATTTTAAAAATCTATCCATTAATCCAAGAATTATTTCGCAAAAATTTATTTAGTTACGACATGGCTTCTTCTATGATGGAAAAGAGGTGAAGGACATTTGAAATGAATGAATGAATGAATTCTACGTGATGATGGTGCGGTGATAATTTAGCCATTTTATAGCAACAACAGAAATTAATTTCAGCTTGTTGCAGATGTTGAAATTGATGATAGTTTTTGGGCGGCCACATCCTTCCTCTCAACACCACCACCAACTGCTGCGGCAGTTCAACGTTTTCATCAGGTTCACTCCGCTTCTCATGGAAATATTCATTGTACTACGGTTGCTTTGCCGATATCAGGAACAGAACAACAGCAACAGCAACAGCAGCAGCAGCAACAACAACAGCAACAACAACAACAACAATCACAGCAACAACGGCAACAACAACAACAGGTATAATATTTACAATTTTACTGCACTTTTATTGTTGCAGTTGTAGGCGATAACGCTCGTTTAACTATTTCCTGCAAAAACAAATATAAAGATCCGATAAAAATTAGATTGAATAAGAAGAAAGAACTAAAAATAATCATGATATTTGATACATTATTCCAAAAAAGAAAATGATTGGGAACTTGCTTTATATTATATTTGCATTAATTATGCTAAATAGCTATTCCCTATTCCACTATGCATGAATTCACATTGCTTTATATTATATTTGCATTAATTATGCCAAATAGTTATTCCCTATTCCAATATGCGTAAATTCGCATTGCTTCATATTATATTTGCATTAATTAATTATGCCAAGTAGCTATACCCTATTTCACTACGCATGAATTCTCAAGTTAAAAATTCCTGTTGATTTTTGTATTCGGATTCTTTTCCATATTTCCGGCTTTTTTCTTGTATAAATCAAAGAAACCTAAGATGATCAACTATTTTATATTTATTCCCACACTCTCAAAACCTTTTATATTTTAATATAAAACACACAATTAATTATTGTACGATCTAATGAGTTGAATTTAAAATGTTCTTTCAATGAAAACGTATCATTGCTGGCCTTGAAAGTCTGAATTCATTCATCCTTTTCAAAATGTTATTTGTTTTCTTTTAAAACTTTTTTTAAAATGTCTCTCTTATCTTTTAAACTTTCATTTCTAATTAATTTTTAGAGTGAAAAGGAAAAGTATCGTTCAATTTGAAAACAAATTTTTGATTAATACAAAGCTTTTTATACTTTTAAGCAGAATGGCAATTTAATATTAATCATTTAATTGATTTATATAAATTAATTTATTAATTGCTTTCTTCTGCTGCAACATTGAAGTAGAATCTACTGCAATGTAAAGTAAAAAGGCTTATCAGTCCTTATATTTAAATAGTTGACTTCTGATAACTTTATTCATAATTTCAGTTCAAATAGAACTGAATTCTATATTTTAGTTTTAGTTAAAAATTATTCATTTTTTATTAAATTATTTATAACATGAAATTATTCACATCAGAATCAGAATTCAAATAGAATTGAATTTTATATTTTCCATAGTTTCAGCTAGAGATTATTCATAATATAAAATTATTCATACTAGAATCAGAATTTAAATAGAATTGAATTCTGATTCTAACTGAAACTACGAATGAAAAGAACTTCCTATTTAATCATTTTTATAATTAACAAGAAAGTGTTCATGTGAGTTCATTTAATTTCCAAAGATCGTATCTAAATTCCTTCTTTTTTCTCAACAGACTCATGCCGAAAATGAATATCGAAATAAGAAAAGGCCTAATAACAACAATTGTCCATCAGTACGTTCTCCATCTTTACCTTCTTCGAGTGGTATGATCGCACATAGTGTTACCGAAGAGCTTTGTTTAGTTTGTGGTGATAAAGCATCTGGTTATCACTATAACGCTCTCACATGTGAAGGATGCAAAGGTATTAATTTATCTTCTCATTTGCATATATTACTATAAGTTTATACTATTCGAAATGAAGATAAACAATATTTTTTGAATAAGAGAATTGAGTTGCAAAATATTTTTAAATGAAATTTGAAATTTGCAGGATTTTTTCGGCGTTCCGTCACCCGGAAAGCTATTTATCATTGTAAATATGGTGAATCATGCGATATTGATATGTATATGAGACGAAAATGTCAACATTGTCGTTTAAAAAAATGTATGGAAATTGGAATGAGGCCTGAACGTAAGTGTAACATTTAACATTTCGCACAAATTTCTTATATTAATTTAATTTTAATTTTTCCATTTCTTTTTTTTCAATCGATCATTAAAGTTTTCCGTTGCATTTATTATTATCAGTAAGTAGCAAAAAAAAATTGCTTTCTTTTTTGTTGTTTAACACCACAAATAACTACTGATAAGCTAACAGAGAAATGATTTATCAATGAATCTTATAGACTCTTTTTGTGAGATCATGATGAATCATGATAAGTTATGTTAATGATTTATGGAATATTTCAATTACAATTTATTCACAAAAAAAGCGAGGTCATGATAGGTTATGTTAATGATTTGTGGAATATTTCAATTACGATTTATTCACAAATAAAAAAGTGGGGTCATGATTGATCATGATAGGTTATGTTAATGATTTGTCGAATATTTCAATTACAATATATTCACAAAAAAAAAGGAATTGAAATATTAAATTTTAATTTCGAAATACCTTTAGCACATTTGCATGTTTCAAAGTGAAGATTATACTATTCTTCATTACATTTCAACATTTTGCCACCCACTTTTGTTTTTTTCCTTTCAATTTACTCACACACATAGAAACAATAGAAATTTATTTTACTACGAAATTTATAATATTTAAAATTTTATTGTTTATATTTATTATTTCAAAAATTTCCATATCATTTATAATACACCTTTTAAATTGCACTAAATTAATTAGCTTTGTTTTATTGCATGTATTTTTAATTTTTTTAGTTTGCACCCCCATTAGGATTTCAAAGAAATTCAGGATTACGCGCTGATTCGCGAGTGCCTTTAGTTGTGATTCCGGAGGATCAATGCCGAATTAAACGTGAAGCAAAACAAAAATTACGCACAGCATTAGAACAACAACGTAAAGCAAATTGTGCTAGTCCACAACAAGCAGTTAGTTCATCAGAATCACCGGATGATTGTGTAGCATTATCAGTGGAAACAAGAGAATTGATTAATCGAATTGTAACAATTGATCAACAATTTGCTACACCATCCACTGATACGTTAATGAAAATTTCGGTAAATTTTAATAATTAATTATTTTAATTACCTTGATTAATTAATACGGCGATAAATAATTTCTTATTTGCTCTTTGAAATATTTCAATTTTACAATTCTATGAAATAATTTTTTTTCTCTTTTGATTTTATTAATTTGAATTTTATTAATTTATTAATTAATAATTTATTCATTTTTTCTTTTGTTTTTAATAATTTGAAGAAGTAAGAGAAAAAAGTGTAGAAATATTATTATTAATAGTGATAAATGATTTTAAAATTGATAAAAATTATGATTAAAATGATAATTTTTAAAAAATAAAATTTAGAAAGAAAAATGATTTTTTTTCAGGAGCGTAATGAAATGGGTAATTCTTATCAACAACTTGCTGAATTGACAATTTTAAGTTTACAATTAATTCATCAATTTACAATGCATTTACCTGGTTTCTGCAAACTTACCGACGAAGATAAACGTACTCTACATAAAGTTAGAAATTTTCTTTTCGATGTTGAAAATATGAAATTTGAAAGTTTCATTCATGAATTAATAATAATTAATAAATTAATAATAACAGAATAATAATTATTAATGCATTTTAAAAAATTCTCAATCAAAATTTCATTAGAAAATTAATTCAACCATGATAACATGATAGTATCACTTAATGATCATTTAATGATACTATCATGTTATCATAGCTAAATTAATCTGAATTAATTTTTAATGATCATTTAATGATACTATCATGTTATCATGGATGAATTAATCTGAATTAATTTTCCAATAAAATTTTGATTAAAGATTTTTTTTAGATTAAAAAATTGGTGAATTTTTTTGCATTTGCTTTTTGAACTTTGATAATACTATCATGTTATCATCAGCTATGATATTTTGATCAAAGTTTTTTTTTTCAAATTAAAAAATCGATAAATTTTTTTATATTTACTTTTTAAACTTTTAATACAAAAGGAATATTTAGTAGTAAATGTTAAAACAATTTCTTCTTTTGATTATTGAAAGTATCATTTAAGAGAAATTTCTCTCAATCTTTTGATGAAAAAATTCATCAATGTAAACATCATCTTTAGACATGTAAAACAGAAGTACTTGTACTACGAACATCACGTTGTTATGATATGTTTGATGAAAAAGTAGTCCTTGGAAATGAAGCAAAACAATGGCGCTACGATCGTGAGCAGTATCGTGAATTTATTGGACCATTGGCTGATTTAATGTTTGATTTTGCGCATGCTTTATCTAAAATGCAATTACATCAGGCGGAATATGTTCTGCTTACTGCGATTGCCGTTTTTTCAGGTGATTTCTTCAAATTTATTCAATATTTTATCCTCATATTCTAGTAAAAAAATATTTAACAAACATGTTGTTGAATTGTATAGAATTTACAAAATTGTATTTTGATTTTACAATGAATGAATCTTTTTCTGTAATTCTAAATGATCATAAGGACGAGTTGAAGTTATAAATAATAAAATCTTTAAGCTTTTGAGCAAAACGGATAATTCTTTCGATGGAATTGCATCATTCAGTTTTTTTCAATTCACAACAAAAATCTGATATCTGTGAATTTCAAAATATGTCGCCAGTGTTAATGATTATGATATTTAGATAGATGAAATTGATAAGTGTTTAACTTCAAATCTGATAGCGTACTAGAGGTATGTTTTAACACTACGGATTTTCAGAAAGAGGGATAATTTAGCAATTGCAAATGAATATTTAATGATTACCTTAAAATTTTGATTTTAGATCGACCCGGTTTACTTCAACCAAAATCGGTAGAAGATATTCAGGAAGTTTACACTTCTGCACTACAATCATACGTTGATGCCCTAAGACCTAAACAGCGCAATATTTTTTCTCGTTTGTTGATGAAACTAACCGATCTTCGAAGTCTTGCTTCTGAACAGGTATAATAGATATATGAATTCATATGTTTCTCTTATTAGATGATGAATGTTACAGTCAAAAACGTATATTTATCCTATCTTTGCCGTATATATTTATCCTACATTTACCATATATTTATCGCAAAAAAAATTTTAATGTTGAAGAGTGAAATAATTACGGGAATTAGCTCAACGGGTATTGCTATTATACCGCCATCATCATCACAACAATCATATGATACGAAATTTACGACTGCAAAACCACAACTTCAACATCCTCAGCATCACCACCAACAACAACAACAACAACAGCATCAGCAACAACAACAGCAACAGCCCTATTCTTTATATACTACGCAGGCACATTATCAATCGTCAACGTCAACCGGTTATCCGTAACACCAAAATTTTTTGTAGTTTCACTTGAATTGTAAAAAGTTAAGTGATTTGTTTCCCAGAAGTATTTTAAAATTATTCCTCCTAAATTTGTTCATTTTCCTTGATTATATTCCCTTTCTAACTTTTAACAATATTCTCCAATGAAGGAAGATTTCAGTGAAATTTGGCGAAAAGTTAAAACTTCAACAATTTTGTCAATTACAACTATCATTACTAGTGATGTTATAGCATGAGAAAATATGTCCTAGAAAATAATGTGATAAAAACGTGATACATTTGATTGTCAAATGAGAGATAACAAATTTGAATTAGTAAGTTACTTCATTTTGCATATTTGTATATTCTAGAATTCTGGAAGATTTTTCATATTGTTAGGTATAGTTACATTTTTCATCAAAGAATCTGATGATGATGCAACGGACGGATTCTGTAATTATTTTTCAATACTAATTTTAGTGTTCTTCTTTTGTCCTTATAATTATTTGTGACATTTTTGTTGTACATTCCAATTCTTTGTATTACTTACTAATTTTTAAGTGAAAATGAAAAAACAAAAAAACAAAAAACTTTTTAGTATTTTCTTTTTGTAAATTTTTGTTGCATTAAATAATATGCAACGAATCTTATGTTGAAAAATTGGAATAGCAATCGTAAATATCAGATAAAAAATAAATAATTTCAACAATTATGTGATATCATCTTAAAGTTAATAAATTTTAAACAAAAACAAAAAGACACGAAATTTTTGTAAATTAATTAACTTAATGTTATAATTTGAATTTGAACTTATTAGTTCAAATTGAATATCATAAAGTTGTGTTGAAATTGTTAGGGATGGTTACAATATATTTTCTTTTTCAACACAACTTTATGCTATTTGGTATATTGTTAATATATGCTAAAACATGTCTACGACCATACCATGTTGAAAGCACGACATCTCGTCCGATCTGTCAAGTTAAGCAACGTTGGGCCTGGTTAGTACTTGGATCGGAGACGGCCTGGGAATCCCAGGTGTTGTAGACATCTTTTGTCTTTCAACAAAACGTTTACAACAGGAATCTAACGAATGTTGAATGCACATCGCAATCTTACAGTGTTGATATCAAAATCGTGGGTTTTATCATCCATGTTTGAGGTAATTGAATGTTTCGGCCCAGAGTTTTCCACTGCTGTGGTTCGAAGTGAAATTTTGGAAAGTTCTGCTTTTTAGTGGGACAGCAAATTAAATATAGCATGGGAATGATGCAATATGGAAATTTGATGTATCCGTTAGTTTGTCTACGACCATATCACATATCAACAGAAGGCACAAATTTAGCATGATAAAATGTAATGCTAATATATTAGAGCAAATATGCTCATAAAATTCAACGCCATATATTAATTTAGTGATCGTGAGAATGAAATTGTTGTTGCAAATTATGCGCTCACATCATTTATTCACTTTTCATCAATCATTTCACTTTAAATGGATCGATCAATCGATCTTTGCATCACAATTTCACCTACAATAATTGAAACCAAACAATAAGTTGGCTCGAATGAATCCTAATATTTCAATTATCTTTGCTTTTATTTGTATTTTCATCAAAAGTACGCAAATTTTTAGTTGAAAATTTTCTTATTTATGAAATAAAGATTCTAATAATTAAGATTCTATTAGGAAAGATTTTAATAATTAATATTTTAATTTTCTGAGAAGATTGAACAGATGAAGAAAGGTATACTTTTGAATTCAAAGTAATAAAGTTATTTAAAATTTCGGAAAGCAATAAAACCAATGATTACAATGAATTCTCGTTAATTGTATTTCATTCAGCTGGCAATAATGGAAAGATTAAGAGAAGAAAAATAGAAATTGAGAGAGAAAATAAAGATCAGAGAATGAGAAATTTCGAAGGGATAATTGAAATTAAAAAGTAAGAGCTAAAATTTGAAAACTTTGAAAGAGCTAAAATTTCATTTGAAGTAATTTTCCTTTTTTTCAGTTAAATCAAAACGAAGTGTGGGTGTATCATTTAATAAGACATATTACGGTGAGTTCAATTATGATAGTATTTAATTCATTTTATCTTTTTATTCAAATTCCCTTCCCTTTATCTTAATGAAGCGTTTCTACCGTATCAAAACTTTTCTCTATTGCTTATTTGCTAAATTTCATTTTCAAATTTCACCTATTGGACTTCAAGTGAACTTCTGCAGATTCACGAAGGTGTGGGAGATTTTTACATGGTACTTTATATGGCAAGCAATATCTGCAAAAGCCTAATTATCATTTAAAAGTATTAGGTGGTACAGATGTTGAAGTGGGTGAACATCCATGGACTGTAGCTATTTATATGAAGAGTAGTAAGTTCCGTTTTTTAATTTGCTTCTTCTATGAATGAGTTATACAACATCTATGCAAAATTGACTTCTCTTAAATAAATAAAATTGATCGTTAAATTTTAATTCTATTTCATTTCTTATTATTATTTAAAGTTTCATCATCCATACTTTCTTATTAGCCAATAAATTTGTTAAAATTTTCAAGCTAATTCTTATAAGCTAATTCTTACCAGTTCTTGACCACAGTACTTTATCAACGTGGACTTTCTACATTAATTGGAATTGTTCTAATTAGCCATATTAGCCATATTAGTTCTGTTCTGTTATTAGTTCTGATATTTTGATATATATGTATTTATTTTTTCATAACATTCTCAACCTCATCTATATCGCTTACCTTCTTTAGCATATTGTTTTATTATTTTTGTTTATTGTTTATTTGTTTATTGATATTTTAATCATTTTAAATTTAAATTCATATTCTTCATTACATAATATTTATGATAAATAAATATGCGGATAATATTGGAATAAGATAAACGAAAACCTTTATGATGATCGATGAATTTTGCATATAGTATTGAATAATGAATTTTCAAATTTTTTCTTATTTCAGTATAATTTGAATACTATAATTCAGTATTTAAAATTTTTTTTTTATTTCAGTATAATTTTATTTCAGTACAATTTATTTCAGTATTATAGTATTCCATTACTAGTAATCAATATTCCATTAACTTCTTTAATATTTACATTCCAATCACTCAATTCTGTTCCACTGTTCCATCTATTTCGTCAAATCTCTTCCTGACAACACCAAAACAATTTCACGTATTTAATCAAATCGCTTCCTGACAGCACTAAAACAATTTCACTTATCTAATCAAATCTTTTTCTGACAGCACGAAGACAATTTCACTTGTTTAATTAAATCTCTTCCTGACAGCATTAAGGCAATTTCACTTATTTAACTTTAAAAATTTTTTCATCCTTTTGATGAATGATTATAACTACAATGAGATTTAACTACAATGAAGAATGAAAAAATCATTTGTTAAGCATAAATGAAAATTCTAATTTTATAAAACAATAGTTTTGAAATTTTGATTTTACAAAATAACAATTTTATATATTGAAACTGAAAAATTTTTTTTCTCTATTTCTTTTCTAACTTTCTTTAATTATTATTACTTGTAATTATTTATTAATTACAACTCTTGTTTTTCTTTTTCAGATTATTGTTGTGTTGGCACACTGATTTCACGAAAGCATGTTATAACAGCTGCACATTGCTTTTTTAGAGAAAATGTTAAGCCAACCATCGGACGATGCAAGTAAATATTGCTTTTGATTATTAAACTTTTAACGATCACTTCAACTAATTAATTAACCAGAGAGAGAGAAAGAGAGAGAGTTGCTCGAAGGTTAATTCTCTCTGTTACTTATTTAAATAAATGAAATACTATATTAAACAATAGTATTTGTTAAAATCATATTTTGATATTATTTTTTGGAACCTCGAATTGAACCGATTTATTTCTCACTTTCATGATTTTTCTTTTCTTTTTTAGCTTATCTTTTTATCTTTGTTCATTTTTAGTTGTTCCTTTCTTTTCTGTTGATTAATTAGTTGAATAACTGAACAATTGAATAATTAAATAATTAATTAATTGAATAAATAAAGGAATGCATTGGCCATTGAAAGTTTTCCTTGATTTAGTCGCGAATTAAAACGATTTAATTCCCACTTTTATGATTCTTCCCTTCTTTTTTAGCTTATCTTTTTATCTTTGCTCAATTTTAGTTATTTCGTTCTTTTCTGTTAATTAATCAGGTTAATAATTAAATAATTGAATAATTAAATAGTTAATTAATTGAATAATTAAAAGAATGTATTGGCCGTTAAAAGTTTTCCTGTTGGAAGTTGCAACCTTTGGTAAATAAATATATTTATTATTATGCATCGAAGTTTTTTATATTGAAATATTTCGTTTATCCTAAAACTTTTCCAATCAAAATTATCAATATTTTTAATTTGAGAACAAATCATGCAATCACTGAGGAAGAAGCTTTAAAATACACTGAAATAAGATATGGATCAAGATGCCTAAAACAAAGCCGAACAAACAATTGTTTTAATTCATTAGAAATGAAAGGAATTGGAATTGTAAGGTTTGCATAACAATCAATTTTCTTTCTTCAATTTAAATTATTACTGTAAAATATAAAGTATGCAATTGTAATTTAAGAAATATAACAGAAATTGTAAATATTAATTAAGATTGAAAGTAATTTTATTTTTGTATTATAAATTACAGTAGTTTGCAAAATACCGTAATATTTTAATTAATAGAAATATGAAATAGTATTTTAGATAAATTTATTTGTAAATTTTTTAGTAGTAATTGTAATTGATTATTTTTTGCAATATTAATTATATTTCACATTTCAACATTCTTAGATAATGAATAACTAAGTCCTCTGATATAGCCGCAATTTCATTATTTCGTCAAATTACAATTTTCCTCTTAATTTGTAACTCTTTAATTATCCCTCACTTTTTTCTTCCTCGATGATCTTTCACTTGATGAAATTTTAATTAGTATCATTAAAGTAATTGGTACCATTAAAATGATTGGTACCATTAAAGTGATTAGTACCATTAAATTGACCACTTTATTTGCTTATATTTAATAGAGCTCAATATGGACGTTTCTTTCGACAAAAATGCTTCGGAGGTGATATTGCATTATTGGAATTGGCATATGAAATAAGCGAGAAAGATGCAAATTATATATGTTTAGCAAATAGAGTTTTGGGCGAGAAATTTTACACTATCCAAAGTACTGGATGGGGAAATAATCGTTGGTTTCTGATTTTCATGTTGAAAATTGAATTATTTTGATTGAAGGTTTCGGGATATTTGACCTTTGAACATTTGATCTTTAGTAGATTAGCAGATAAAGAATGACAAAATTAAATGAAAAATTTTAATCAATAATTATTTTATTAAAAGTTTTCCCTATCTTATCATTTCTTATCATTCCTTCATTCAAAATTATTCAATTGCAGCAATTATGAAACGTACGATTATGAATACATTGCAAAAATTGGAATTTCATTATTTGTTTGATCGTGATACGTGTATGAAGAAAATGGGTGGTTATAATATATCGAATGATGTTGTATGTACCGAAGAAACACATAACCGAAATGTTTGTTTGGTTTGTTTTGCTTTGTTTTTTCTTTTGAAATGTTTAATTATTAATTTTGTTATACGCAAAAAATTATTCTCTGTCATCTAATGAATTTATTGTTACTTCAAATTATAATTAAGCAATTGGTAATGTGATAAGTGATATGATATAATAATATAGCAGAAATTAATATAGAAATGAATATTTATATCTTATATAAATAGGCCTAAAAGAGTTTGAAAATAAATTTTAATAATTTTATATTATCAAAATTAATTGGAAAAGCCAAATCACTTTGTTGTTAAAAATTGAAAAGTTGTAAAAATTTGAAATGAAAAAAGTTTCATTCATTCATTTCAACATTTTAATATACTATACTTAATTTTATACTTAATTTTATATACTATACTTAATTTCATACTTAATTTTATATACTACACTTAATTTTAATATACTATACTTAATTTTGGATAGAATGCTTTAAAAAACATATTTTTGTCTAATATATCAAATTATTGTTCGCTAATTTTCATTGAATTTAATTAATTAATATCTTTTTTTGATTTAAAATTTGATTTCCGATTGTATAGTTTGATTGCATTTAATTTTTCGTTTTCGTTTTGAAATTTTATGCAAACTTTTTATTTATACTTTTTCAATGCTTTCTTGATATTGAAATACTGATAATGCTTAATGGTATATTAAAGATAGAAATTTGAAAATGGTTTAATTAGTGTATATGTTCTTGCAAAGTTACAACGATTAAAGATACGATATGAAGATTGAAATAAATTTCTTCTTCTTACTTTTTTACCTTAAGGCTTAGTCTTTAAAATGGAGATAGAAAAGTTATCAAAAGACCTAAAAGTTCTTTAAAAATTTTTGTCAAAAAAATGCTATGCAAATTTTAGGCATTTCTTTGATTCTGTCAATTGTTTACAATAGAAAAGAAAAAGTAAATAAAAGGTGTTTGCAAATTATTTTTCCATTATTATATTTACTTATCTTTTTGCTTGGCCTAATATTTCTTTTGATTAATCCATTTTGAAGCCTAAGTCTTAAGATAAAAAATATGAAGGGAATGGTTGATGAAAAATTCATTTCAATCTTCACTTTATATCTTTAGCCATTGTAACATTTGCAAAAACACAGACATTAATTAAACCTTTTTCAAATTTCTATTTCTATTATGTTGTTAGGCATCATTAGTACTACAATACCTGAGAAAGTATTGAAAAAGTATAAATAAAAAGTTTGCGCAAAATTTCAAAACGAAAACGAAAATTTAGATATAATCAAACTTATTAATTAGATAATTTTTATTAGAAGGTAATCTTTATTAAATTAATTAAAAGTTCAATACCTGAAAAAGTATTGAAAAGGTGTTGTATTGAAAAATATTGAAAAAGTATTGAAAAATTTTCTTGATTGATTTTTTGAAATATCATAAATCGACTCAAAATGAGTTCTGATATTTCGTTGCTTAAAATTGACGAATATATTGAAGGATATGCTGACAGCTTAAAATATATGAAAGCTAAAGCTAATATTTCATATATTTTTAATTAATTAAATAATTCGACATATATTTTTCGAAGTTAAATTGTACATTTTTTCCGACCAAAATAAAGATGATCCAAATCAATCTTATTTAATCAGTAAAATAATTCTAATGAATTATTTGCAGATCATTTTTCAAATTTCTACAATTTTAAATTTCATTCATTTTTTTTTGCTAATTTTTATTTCCAAAATATTTTCATGACAAATGATACTACTGATTTGGTTAGCTTAAAATATTCATGAATATTAATCACATTGTAATTCGATTATTTCAGGGTGATAGTGGTGGTGGTCTAATGGTGCAACTTCATGATGGACGTTGGCTGCTTCGTGGTATAGTCTCATACGGTACCTCTTGCAATAAATTAGTAGAGAAGAAGGCACAACCTTCAGCTCAAGTTTATACAGATATTAAAATGTATGGTGGAGAGATTGATAGATTCACTAAATACTTCTTACCTTGGGAATATATTTAAATATGCTATAATTGCTTTGTGTTTTCAAAGATATGATTAGTGATATATTGAATGATATATATTTTTTTGATGCTCCGAAATTTGTATTTTTTGATATAAATGTAAATTCCATCAAGTAAATAACGAAATGTATATTTTAATGAAATGATTATTGAAAGGTCAATTTGATAAATTACATGAGAAAAAGAAAGCTACGATAGGAAGCATAGATTTTACTATTAACATTTTATTTCTCAATTAAATTCTTTGAATGATATGGGAAGGATAAGTTTCAATTTTATTTAATAACAAAAAATCATTGAACTTAATTAGAAGTTAGAAATTTTAAGTTTTCCATACGTCAACAAAGCCGACAATCTTGCCAGCCGAAGTAATCTTAAGAACACTTAAGCCAAACAAGTGTTCCACTATTTTTGCACTAATTACAAGAGATCTAAATTACATCACTTCTGCACTAATCATAAGTGATCTATCGGAAGGATTTTTAAGCGGTGCAAACAAAACAGTACCCGGAGAACATATTCTACATCTGCAGCAACAATGTTATTCCATGATATCTGCTTTGAATGAAAATGATTCTTTGTTAACTGCAATTACCATAAAAATCACTATCATAAATGTTGTTGTCGTAATTCATTTGTTATGCCAGTGACAATGCAGAATAGCAATAATGACGTAAAGTGTAGAAATTATACGCTTTTCATTATTGAGGGATACTTTTCAGAATTGATACCTTAATGAGAGATTGTGAATTAAACATAATGAATAGAAGTATGATGAGCTTCAAAATTGTAACTTATTAGACTAATAGAAAGAAAATCATAGGTAATTTAAATTTTCAAAATTTTAATAACTCTCTAATTTTAGTATCACAATTTACTAATTGCTTTGCAGAAATAAAAATAAAAATCGAATAAACTTATAAAATGCATAATTAATAAATTATAAATTTCAATTCAACATTAAGAAATTTCAGTTTATAAATTTCAAATTTCAATTCTAAGATAATAATTGAACCAATTAAATGCATTAAAAACTCCTGACGCATTCTTATTGACAACCATTAAAGATTTAAATTTAAATGATATCTTCTGATCGATTAAATATATGAATCATTATTTAAGAATTATGAAAATTTTGAGATTTTTTTCGAAGGAAAAAATTTCGGAGAAAAATCTGTTTTTTCAAAACAAGACAAGAGTTTTAGGAAAATTAGGAACACTGTCTAAAGTGGAAAAGTTCTGATGCTAGCGCAACGACATGCAACTTCCAATCCTCATTCAATTTTCTGTGCAAAGTTTATGCTACCGGCATGTTGATTTGGTTTAAGCTGGTGTGAATAAGCTGGTTATTGCTATGTTCAGTTAACTTGAAGTTTAGGAAAAATGTCGATCAGAATTTTTCTTACTTCAGATTACGTCTGTTTTCTAAAATTTTCCCATGTCGAGGATAAATACATATTTATTGAGGAATATACGTATTTAATTAATTGAGCGTTTTAATTAAAAGTATTATCACATACGCACATTAGTTGTTCTTATACATTAGAAGAAAGAATTAAAAATTAGGATATGAAGAGAAAAGAAATGCTAAGCATTTAAAGACTATTAATCGATTTCCTCGAGTTTTTTAATTTAAATTAGTTTTGAAATTATTATAGGAAAAAGTTTGATTCAAATTTGAAGTCAGTTTGCAAGATTATCTGTTACTACCACTTTTATCATATTTTCGTACTTCAGTTAAAGACATTGATTAAATTTTAATAGCAGAGAAAAAATGAGAGGAAAGGAGTACAAATAAAAAGAATAAAAATATTCCATAAAAATTTTTTGTGGGTAATAATTCAAAATTATGATGTGGAGTAATTAATTATATCACTCAGCTAATCGTTGAAAGCTTTGAAAACACTGCAATACAAACAACGATACAAATTCCTCATGGAATTGCCCAACTCATTGATATAACAGAAAACGTAATAAGAGATAAAATTTACTTCATTTTAGAGTTATAAATCGATGGACATTTCGATGAGATGGGAATTTCAACGAAGAGAATCGAATTGCTTGAATTAAATGGATCATACTTGGTGAATTGCTTGCTTGGTAACAAGGATATAGTTTTGAAATTATTCCTTCCAACATTAACCATCATGTTAAGTATCTCCAATTTTAAGAAATCGATTTAAATCGATTTCTTAAAATTAGAGATACCTAATGAGCTCTAAAAAAGTACGTTATTTTAGATTGAGCTATCTATAGTAACATGAAATGTTACATTATAAATAATCGTCTTGATAGTTTATCCTATCCATCGAATAGTTAGGATTCATAATTCAATCTAACTACCTTTTTCTAATTAGGTTTGGTTGGTTTATTTCTAAATTACAGCATATAGTGGCCGAATGATGCGGGGGATGTTTATATTACTTCAAATCAACTAGAACACTTACATGAACATAATACAACGTGGTAGAAGGTAGGAAACGTCAAAACAGTCATGAACGTTCAGTCCTGCAGAACTTTCGATAATTCCGTGTCTTCTGTAATTCCATGTCAAATACCAGTACGTAAACTGACCAAGGAAGAGAACATTAAACAATGTGGGAATAACGATCAACGAATACAATATCTAGGACATCGGACAATCCAGTGTGTTACCGCTGTACAATTTGCCCACAACGTCGCACAAGATTTGGTTTGAGCATTCTACAGCGATATTCTGAGACGTTCTCCGCAGTACTTCTAGAAGATTAAGAGTTGATTTGATGACTAACAAATCGATATGTCCTGCTCGTCAGATGTCGTGATTAGCATAACCAACAGGATAGATATCCAGTAAAAAATGCATTATGAAGTGTTTGAAAAGCAGGCAATCTTTTCGGAGTCAAAGTGCCTTGTATAATAACGATAATGGGCAACAGGAATTGATTTCATTTGCCCTTCGGCTTGAATCAAAGCTTCCCGCTACAATTTCATAGTTATGCATTTGCAATCTCGCTTCCATCTTATATCCTTTTCCGATGACTTTCCTGCTGTAAACTTCAAAAGCACTCTCGCAATAATGTAGATACTGTAATTTATATCAATCAATAATTTTAGGATTTTTATTGATGCACTGGATATAGAAAGATGGAATGGAGAGTGATGGAGAGAGTGAGGAGAGAAGAGAACAGACGAAGAAAAGCAAGACGAGTCATAGCAGGAAGGGCTATTCTGCCACCCACATACAATTGTTGCGTCGAGAGTGGAAGGTTCACAGTTGTCTCGAGATTGGTCGGGTGTGATTCGCGTGGGGTCACGTGCCTTGATCACGTGAAAGAATCGAAGAAGGTGGGCTACAAGTAGGGATACGGTATGTTTTACGTCCGTACGCGTTACTTAAAAATTTGATCGCGGATTCGAAATAATGAATTTGATCTTCCTTCTGACTCGGCTTTCATCCAGAGTTTCTTGCATTCAAATGGCTGTTGCTATAAAGTTATAATAAGGGAAAGTCGCACTTTCAAATATAGGATTGGGCACTGGTGAGACATTGTGTGTGCACGTTCTGCATCTTGGATTCCGGACTCGCGTAGATCGGTTGTCATTTATTTCGTACTAAATATTGAAACTCGGAGCAAAAGAGCATACACAAAATATTCATAGACATTTACATACATCAAAGATATATATATATATATGATTCGATATCTGAGTTTCACTGAAGTCTCCAGTTAACCAAGTTGTGATGATACAGTCTTCTTGATTTCGCTGTATGCTGAGGATTCAGGCGGAATGTCCTACTTATTTAGCACTCTATCAAATACTAAGTCTGCTCTCTTCAGGCTTAACTTATCTTACCGTGCATGCATGTCAACGGGAAACCCTTTTCAATTGCATCAGTTTGTGGATGTCAGACCGAATATTGTAAGTATTGATTTGATTTTTGAACAGAGATGACATCTTTGAGATTTTAGTCGAAGTTTAATATTGAATACTGCTTCTCCACAGGCCATTGTTATGGTCTTTACTGTTCAGTTTTGTCATTTAGCAGCACCCTACATTACTTACAACATTACACTGTTGAAACATTCGCTTCTCTGTTACCACGAAGTTTTGTGAATAATGTGACTTCTTCCGAGAGCTAATTGATCAAATAGATATTCAATTGTAGATTGGTGGTGAAATAGAAAATGGGGACGAAAATAATGGTTCTTCTGTTCGGAAACGGAAAATTGTAAGTATATTTTTGTAGCTACAGAAGTTGACACAGCAAAATGTTATCATATGAATTTTTGTCACCAAGAGATTTTAAAAAAGGGCGCTTGTTTGTGTCGTATATTCTAGACAGTTATATAATAGTGTTTGTTGAGGGCAACAACTTCACTTAAAAAGTGCTGACAACCTTTTTAATCACATGGACGCTATGTTATAATAACTATGAATATCGTTGTTTCCACTTACTGATTATAACAGAGATTTCATCAGATTTTATTGCTTGACGCTTTGATGAGTAGTAATTTCTATCCTTTTGTAGGCTTAATTTTTGTCCTTTTTCTAAGATCGATTAGCATATCTTTTTTTTTGTTGAACTAAGGAAGTGACCATTTCAAATGGATTTGTGGTGTCAACTTGCTGATGAAGAATAATAGATTGAAGTGCCAACTTTAATACGTTCGATTATATATAACATTTCATTACGGTTTTGGAATGATGAAGTATTTTTTTCGTATCAAGAAGAGAACACAGTTGGGATGATATACTTCTGAAATAATTCAATACCAACTTTTTAATGTTATTGCTATGTATCACAAAATTGGTACATTTCCTTTCTGCCAACACTAAAGCACTTTTTACTGCGTTGAATGAGTAAATCAAATGATGAGTTTTTCATGATGTACTCTTACTGGATTATTCTGCATGAGTCCACTAGGTTCACTGCTCATTCATTTTCAATTCAAAATATTTCAGCTAAACATAGTAATTAAAGCAAAATTTAAATACGAGATTAAAATTTAAATACGAGATTGGTCGTACAGAAGTTTCAAAGTGTAGCAATGGTTTAGCAAATAATCAAATGAAGATCAAGACAGACGCATTTACTAATTTGATAAAAATGAGTTCTCGATTGTATTTTTTGCTGTAAGTTGGTTTCATAGTTATTTGTAACTTAGGCATTTTCATTCGATACTGTTTTTGATTTGGAGGTAGGGGAACTGAAAGCTTCCATTACATACCTTCAGTTTCTATCCCATAATCAACTGTTCTGTATGGTCCTAATCTCTATTTATAGTTACCTACTTTTTTTTATTTATTGTCACCTACCTTTTTTTGATTGTAAGTTTATTTTTTACACTGCACCTTCAGGTTCCATAAAACGTACATTGCTTCAACAAATCCGAATCTACATACTTCATTCCATGGTATAGATATTCTTTATTATCTATCCAGAAGAATCTTGATCGGAAATTTTGCAGTGTCCCATGTTTTGGCATATTTCTCCGGTTAATATCATTTTATTCTCAAGAGTACCACGGAAGGATGGATATAGATATATTAGTTTTCTGATAAAGGGAGATTCCTCGTCTCCTTCATTGATCTGTTCATATTGTTGAGTACTTTTCAAATCTACTTTACATATGCTTTTAGTAAGGAAAAATATAGGACTCATTATTAATTTTCAAACTTTATCGTTTCTCACTTTGATAATTGGATGCCGTATTTGTTCATAAAATTATGTGTTCTATAAGAGTAGTAAATAAAATATACGATTAATTTAATTTTTTCCTTGTTTGAAATCACACTGTGCAACTGCCAAGAACTGAAGTTCTTGATGTAAGGGATCATTTAGATAGGACTTCTTTTTCTTTGTCTGTTATGTATATCTATACAGTTGAAAATTTTAAGCTGGTCGACAATTGAAAAATTAGAGCAGACAATAATAGAGAACTTTTTTAAAAAAAAAATTCATATATCAGCTCATTTTAGACTTTTAAATTCATCGCTTATATCACTTAAAAGATGTTTAATACAATTGCTTGGATACTATTGTATTATTTCTCCTCTAACAGAAATCTTTTACACATTACATATGCCGACCGTATTTTTGACTTTCCTTGTTTTAGAAGTATCTTTCGTGTTATGTTGTATGTAAAGTATTGTCTTACATTAAGGATTTTCTTGATAAACTGAAAGGACAAAAAAGGAAGAAGTTGATAGATCAGAATTTTTTACTGTATAGTGAAAAATAGGCAAAAACTAACAAGTTTAAACTATTTGATTTGATAGAAAGTTAAAAAAAAGGCTCAGCGGAAATTGAGCATCATGGCTTACCTCTGTGTTCTGAACAAGACAGCGCAATGGTGTATCAATTCATTTTTCTTACTTATGACGATCTAAAGTCTTGGATTTGTTCTTAGACATCGTCGAAGATCAGTCGTGAACGCATTTTTCATGTGCATTTCACTTGTGGCTAGGAAATCAACATCACTTTATAGAGATTTGAGTGTAAGGGGTTGCGCAATAATATGAAGTTTATAAGCTTTTTAGTAAACGTATCCCGAATTAAGCATCTAAGGTTATTTTTAGACTAATTACAACACTGATCGGTTGACACATTTGATGTATGAACGAGCGCTGGAAGAAGTCAATAAACTAGAGGGGAAGCGCCAACGTTTGGAAGTTGAGGGGAACAAACAACTAGCGACAAAAAAAGAGCAACAACTTCAGAAGAAAAAAAATGTGTGGAAATATTTTTGAACACTATTATTTAGAATAATCTCATATTCTTATCCCCACAGTGACGATATCAGTGGGTTATGTATGTGGGTTCATTCATATTTATACATTTAGTTATCTGCATCATCGAAAAAAGCAAATTTGTTACTAAGATTTTCATTATACAAAACTTCTTCATGAATGGTTTATTGGCATGGATAATAACACTTTCACAATTGATATTGCGCCCACCAATATGAAATCAGAGCTGTGAGCTAATGAACAGATTTGTTCATATGCAACATGAAGAGGAACGTACATATTTCTGATAGGTTTTTTTTAATTTATGAGAAATTTAGGTGGTGAGCGTTAGACCTTCGATTAACTTCGTAACATTAGTTGGTTACAAGCGTCTCCAGTATGCTGGACCACACGAATCGAGGACGATCATCAGTCGCTTGTACAATTTCAACAAACTTAAAAATATCAGTGGAGGCTTTCGATTATATCTTCGACTTATGACAGATGCTATATTAAATGAGATCTGGTATGATTGAAATAATTTCAACATTTCTAGGAAATTTTAATATATATGAGGAATTCTGAAATACTTATTTGAGAGCAACCGAAAAGGTCCGTGTAAATCAATGGTTGAACAGTTTCTCGTAATAATATCAAATATTTTTAAGTACTAGCTTCAGTTCGGAAGTTATGTGATCTTTCTTAAATAATTTATGTCATCTTGCTTAGTAAGTAGTTATCTTGAGTTTCCATCAGCATCATTGTAGTGGGATAAGATAGTTCTTAAGGCAGGCGTAAATGCAGTAAATGAACAGAAATCCTAAAAAACTATTCAAATTTCAACAAGAATAAAAGATTGTTGGAATTTCTATTCAAATAAGGTTAATGGGTATACGAGCGATAGCTCGGGTAACAATGTAATGCTCTGTTGTCTAATTATTGATGTAATTTCACTACCTATTACGCAGTTTGAATACATAAATGACATCCATAATTATAGTAGGGAAAGTATTCAAAAACGTGGAATGAATTATTCATTCATCAACTTAAACGACAAAAATGAATTTTACTTAAAGATTCTGGCTTCCATGTTTCCCTCAAATGCAAAACCTCACTCAGTGTGATGCAGTAACATATATCAAAATTTGTTTTTGAAGTGACAAGATCGATGATCAGAGCGACCGTTTCGATAAAGCAAAAGACATGGATCTATGTATTTCGCAAGTTCTGCGTTATGCAGTAAATATTTAATTTCTTAATATTTTCATAAAATAAAAGTCTAGCGGACAGAGAAATAAGATGCGTGAAGTGATTCTGCATTTAAAAAGCCATTTTTTGTTTTTATATTTGAAATATTTCGGGGATGCTTTTTACCTATCAACATCTTCCAGTGGTCTCAACTAAGTGAGAAAGAACGGTTGACATATGAAACTGTGGCACGGCGTGAAGTTCAGGAGAAGTACAAAGCCGAACTGGATGTTAGTTTTCAGTACCGTCTCTTGCAGAAGCACGATTAGTAATTTTATTTTTAATTTTCCTGTGCTTTTTCTTAATCTCTTGGTGTTATTTTATATTCTTATGTAGTATATATAGAACTATTTTCCCCACAGGGATAAGCCAGTACGATAGCACTATTCTTAGCATTGTTTTGGACTGTTTCAGTAATTTTAGATAGGTTTTTTTGCGCGTCTTTTTGCGCGATAGGTTTTTTTTTTTTTTTTTGATTTTTGCGGAATTTTTTTAGGTTTCATGCAAACATGAATTCATCTTCAAAATTAAACATAGCGCTAAATTTTTTAGAAAATGAATGGTCGAAATACTGGATCAGAGAAAAGTATGAGAGCAGCAAGTAAGTGCTTAGAACATTTCTTTTATCTTGCAGTGCAGTATTAGTACTAACATTGTTCAAAAATGCACGTCAAATTATGCCACCGATTAGTTATTGTGATTCCATGACCTTTACTTAATGTGTGATAACTTCTTTAAGTGGTTCTATAGTTGAATTATACTGCTCATTATCAGACATGCAGTGGATCCGTTCGTTACCAGCTATGCCACTGACCGAATTTAAGTTCATGTCGGCATGGGCCAAAAAGCAGAAAGAAAATGAGCATCATCGTGTACATTATAAACGGGTCCGATGTCCATTTTGCAAAAACTTCATCTTGAAAGACGACACTTTACAGGTTACAATTTCTAACATTACGATCGCGTCAGATGTCGGATTTCCATATGCCTTTCTAATTTTTCTTAGATATAATAATAAATATATAAAAGCTTCACTATCTCAGGTCCTGTTTTTTAGGTTTAAATAACAAAGTAATAAGGCTTTTAAATCTTAGAAAATCTGGTATTACAGTTGACGGTAAGATTGTGAGAGTTTTATCCTTGTTTTTTTTTTCGCTTCAGGGATCTCTGTTTTCCGTTTCGTCTCCTATTTTTTCTTATCTTTCTTTACTTAGTTGCTGCTCTACTTTACTTAGTTACTGTTAGGTAGAATGTCTTATGAACTCTTCGGTGAAGGACGACGCATATTAATTAATTCTAACCTTCTCAGATGCATATTCTGTATGGTCACCATAATATGTTCGTGTATGCATGCCATTACTGTTTCGAAGGATTTACTTCTCTTGAACAGTTGAAAAAGCATTGTTGTCGTGAATTCACACAGTTCATGCTACAATTACTGATCCAGGAGACAAAGGTACTGCACATTTTAATTTTCTACTTATAGATAGGTGGTTAACTAATTGCCTTTCGATAACTTTCTCTGACTATTTGCTTATACTGATTTAGCCAATATAATTTCCGATGAAACTCATATATGGATGTAAATATATTTGTGCAAATCGTTTTATTGTCTGTGACTTCGAAAATCGAATTTTAAAACTTTTCGTCGATGCAATATTTGAGATTTCTGCTGAATGAAATAGAGATCTTATCATGGTATATCAAAATGCAATGCTGTTTTGAATTGATAGCCTTTCTAAATTGCAGTTGGAAATGATTTTTGCAATGCACACGCTGATTTGTGCTGAATGCAATCTGCAGGTGCCTTTGTCATCTTTAAGTAATTCAGCCAGTGATAAAAAACACGTCAAACTGCAGCGTTTGTTGGTTAGTTTTTAGTGAAATATGGTACTCATTTCTTTTGTTGGTTACTCTATTAAATAGATTATTTGGTTTAAATTTAGACAAAAAAGAAATGCTAATATTTTACATTCTATCATCTCAGGAAAATTATTATTCATAACCGAGTGATTGTAGATGTAAATAACAGGAAATAAATGAGATAATGCCAAAGATTTCAGAGCTATCACAATACAGACAAATTGGTATCATGTGTTACATTATTTGCTGTTCGGCCTTCTGAGGTGGAATATGTAACGATGAAAGCTTGCACGATGAAGTGTGGAATACCACTGCAGTGTAAATTTTGTTCACACAAATTTATTTCTGCGACGGATATCGAAAAACATCAATTAAGTGAACATTCTGGGAAAGTGACTAAATTGAAATGTCCAATGTGCCCGCGTTTCTACATTACCGATTGTTTTTTCAGGTAAAGTATTATTAAGTTGTTGTTTGGTGGTACTGTAACTGTCATCCTTTCTTAAATTATTGTGCAGAAAGCAATTCTGTCTATAGCCTCCAAACGCACCTCATTTCTCTTGTATAGATTTCAATAACGTATTTCAGGGACCACTTATTATCTCATCTTGGTGAAGTGCATTCAATGACGGGCCTACTACAAAAGGCAACCTTTTGGCCGCCAGCTTTTTCTCATGAAACGACTTTAAAAATGGGGCCATCACTGCAGAAAATCATTGGTTCTGATATGACAGAATCATCTCAAGTTGAAAAATCCAATGATGTTAATTTTTATTTCTACTTTGCGTCTTGTCGAAAAGATTGCTTTTATATGGAATAAAACTGCCGTTATACTGAATTTTATTTTTTTTCTAATAGGTATTTTTTTTCAGTCGGGTTCATTCAGTGCTGAACCTTTTTCTATCGCTTTTTTGCCTATGATACATTAACTGCAGTAGATAAGTTTCAGATTAATTAGGAGTCTCTAATCTCCTAATTTTTCAGTTGTCCGATGATGAAGATGAGTCATATGAGAAGTCGGTATTGAACAGAAAAAATAGAAGGAATAACGAGCAAAAAAAGTCGAAAAAGATGGGAACTGATCAGGATTTATGTTATTATTGTAGACATGTAAAACAGGTAACAACTAATCTAATTTGTAAATTTTCTTTGCTACTTTTCTTGGAGCAAGTGGATGGGCAATAGCATTAATCATAGTACAAAGTTCATCATATTCATCCTTAGCTGACATTGGCGGTTCGATGCTGTCACCCAACTGGTTTTTTTCTTAAAGCAGGTTTGCGATTTTGCAATTATTATTTTCGTTTCCTTTTATTTCTTAATTTAGTTTTCTTTTTTAGGTGGTGACTAGACCACTACAGTCTAGTCTTTGCCGATGCATAAAATCGAAACATGAACCAAAATCATTCGTAGCGCAGAATTCTTTTATGAAGTCACTTGTAGAAAAATTCACTCGGGAAGGGCGGCTTTATGTCGATATGAAGGATTCCGTTTTGGATATAACGATTGGCGCAATTATTGATGATAGGTAAAAAATTTCTGGCGCTGCATTCATACTAACTGAAAATTCTTAGTTCACTAATTCTCCATTTTTCAGTGTCTTCATTTGTGTCAAATGTAAGGGGCTTCATCTTGGTGACCGAAACATACTAAAACATCTTCGGATTTGTATGCAGAAGGATGTGGAATCTCCGGATCCCGAAAAGCATTTTGATCTTATGGATAGCAAAATTGTTAGTTAATGACCAGCTCAGTTGTCCCAATGCTTGCATCTTATTGTTTGAAATGCGATAAAAAAGACTTATTAAAAAAAATGCAGTTTTCGGGAAGCATATTGAAGTTAAAATTTTTTAACTCCTCATAACATTATTCGGCTGCTCTAGGTTATTCGGCTAACTCATCCACATTGTTCTCCAAATGGTAGAATTAATTGTCCGGAATGTGAAGTAACATCCTGTTCAATCGCTAGCTTACGACGGCACCTGGCTCTGGATCACGGCATTTTTTCATATTACAATGTTCCAGGTTAGTTGCCTTCTAAAGATTAATTTTTTTTCATGTCATACAAATCCCATTCTGCATGTCATCCAAAATTTCTAATTGTAGAAAGTCACAGAGCTGTTGGCATTATGGAATATATTCCATTGAGAACTACCAACTATGCAAAACTTGATATTGCTACAAGGATAAATCTAGAGCTGAATTTGACACCAACAGGCGATTTTAAACTGCGTCACGACAGAAGATCGCAATCGCCTCCTTTGACCAGTGGTAATTCTTCGTCAACACTATTTAAGAAAGATGCAGAAATTTTTTAACTTTTCAAAACTTTAAATTCAGGTTTCCCGCAAAATACAGGGTGTATGTTTTTCGTGGTAATTCGTATGTTATCCTATTTAAAAAAAAAAATCAGGAAGATGTTTGAGTCCTCGGGAAAACCTTTGGGAAACCTTTGTCATGGAACACTTTGAGATTCTGTTCACGCTTTTTCAAAGGAATTTTATCTTTATAACTTTTAAAATTTTATTACAGGGAGCGATTTAAGACTAGTTACTTCTGACATCCATGCAGCAGAAGATCTCCAAGTATGATTTTAGCATATTTTCCTTTGTTTCCATTTTGCGCATTAGAAACTGAAGGCGTGGTAATAGGCATTGGTGGTGCTAAGTGAAATTTATTTGGGGAAAATGATTTTCTTATTTAGTTCTTGCTTTTCAGGCAACTTCAATGTCAGTTGATACGCGATCAACTTTAATGCAGTCTGTCATGGAGCCAGCACAAAGTTCAGCAGTGATGGGAAAATTTATTTGTATAATCTGCTTTGTAAGTATATAACTTCATTATCACAATTTTGGTAATGGAAAATTGAAGTTTCTACTAAATTTTGAATATGATTCTGGATAGAGTGAATTGTTTTCTTAAAAAAGACATACCAAAATTATCTTCTTGATTCAAGATTGATACTTGTTGAGAGTATGGCTTAATTTTTTTAAGAACATCTTTATTTTCCTTCTCTGTTCGATCTCACCCATTTTTTTCCATAGATTTTTGGAGATTTAGAGATTTTTGGAGACTTTTGAAGAGTAAACGCCGAAGAAATGAAAGTGTTTTGTAGCAAAATTCTTCGTAGCGAAGCTCGTTTAGGCGGAGTTCCACAATTGCTTCGCTGGATTTAGTGGAAGTTTGAGAAATTTAATACTCAAAAAATTTCCTTCTAGCAATTTGTTCCGTATCTTCAAATTGATTTATGATATTTTGAAATATTCAATCCAAGTACAGTCGTTGCAAGTTTTCTTTTTAATTTGCTATAACTGATAGTTACAGAAATGTGTATGAGGAAATCCTTACATTAGAGAAACATATTTTGTTATTTAAGGCAACTAGTGATTCATCGCAGCAGTTGGCAAATCATTTCATTCGTTCTCATCTGTATTTGTGTTCTGAATGTGGAAGTGGTTTTATTGAAAAGCAGTGTCTTTTGTCCCACTTGGCTGCTTGTCAGAAATGGCCTCGAAAATGTATGTTAATTAAGCCTTGTAATCTTATACATACTATTCATTTGAGCTTTGAGTTTCACGTGGCTTTTCGTAGAATTCAGTAAAATTTTGGTGCATTCATTTATGAATATTCATTTGATCCTTATAGCAAAAGCCATTTTTTCAGGTTCGGATGGAGAATTTTTTCCACGCTGTCCAATTTGTAGTTTTCTTTTACTCACTCCCGAACGCTACTTCTATCATTTAGTATACTCTCACAAAACAAGCGTGTGCATCAATCAAAAAAACCAACAGGTAATATTTATTTATCAGACTTATACTTCGGTGGTTCCAAAAAGCTTTTACAATCAGTAACGAGTTCAAAAGTTTGCAGACAGCTAACAATCAAAAAGCTGGAGTAGGAATCAATCGATCGCGGCTCATCTTTCGCTTTAAAGAGCTGATTTAATTACCAAATTATTCCTTTTTCAAATAAATTAGCAGTCAACCACTATATTGGAAAAAGCAGTGAAATTCTACTGCATTTGAAAATGTTCTTTCATGTTTCCAGTTCTTCTTATCTTAAGTAGCACGGCTATAGAGCATTCTTTTTTGATTAAATACTTTTTAGGTAAATCCAATGTTTATTTGGAAGAAATTGTCTTTAACGGATGCCGCGAAGTTGAGGAAAACAATGATGGATAAGTTGGTGAGTTTAATATGGTTTTCCTCTTCATTTTTTAAATATGCAGCGTGGCGCCTTTTGCTTATGTGTTATTTATGGAATGTTCTTTATCTAAATGATTTACAGGCAATTAAAACTCGTGCTAATTTTATAACGAAAAATGTGTTGTATTCATCTATTCTTCCGAACAAAAACACAAATGGTGCGGAATCTGTTATTACCAATGTAAGTTTAATGAAAATGTTTCGTTATTTATAACGAAACATTTTCATTAAAAAGAGTAGGAAATTCACATGGCCCATAATTTTACGGAATTCTTTATGGCTCTTGTTTATCTGCTTATTTTTTAATCATATTGCATTTACAATAAAATTCCTAATGATTGAAATTTAGCAAGATTGCAAATACCAAATATTTCATTTTCAAATCTTCCAAGCATTCCGTAGTCGCTATATTTTTAAGTTTTTCAGAAATTTTTATGTACTCTTTGCGAATTGGATTTCCCAAATCAAGTAGAATGCGATATTCATCTGCAAAAACATCCGGAACAGTGGACCTGTTGTCCTGTTTGCATGTACTTTCGCGATCACTGTCCGATCCATACCATCGGCGAACTTTTTGCGCATCTATTATTTAAACATACGGTTAAATCACTTCAACCAAAAGTGAATATTTGAAGTTTTTCTTTCCAATTTGTTATGATTATATGGTCCATCAGGAAGACATTCTGCATATCTTACCGTTTTTCGTATTTTCAAATTGTTTCGTCTCTTATTATAATTTGAAATGCTGTGACTTAAATTGAATAACTTCTGCACTTATCAACCATTTTTTTTTTCATGTGAATTCGGCAAAAATTAAGGTAATAAAACTGTCATCATCACATACCCGCTGGGACCAACACTCTCTTTTTACTAGTTGATGGTTCTCTGCAGTACCATATCCCTTCTTCTTCATTGCCTTGTAGGTTTTTACAAGTAAAATCTAGAGTAAGTCTTTAAACAATCTGCTGCTTGCAAATGTTATATATTGACGGAAAGTCGTGTTTAAGTCTTTCATTTCATAAAAAGAGGTAAAACATTTTCCATAATTTTGGGATTTGGTTTCTGCACCAAATAAAAGAAATTATGCTCGTAATTTTGTTTCAGGGTGTAAAAATAGTGTGCAGTTTGTGCCGGAGTTTATCTTCCTGTCAGTCAACTACTCCGCTATCAATCAGGCGCTGCGAAGAGCAAATGATCCGCCATATTTTGTATGCGTGTAATGGTACCCAGGTATGCTTCCTTTGCAACGATGGCGCTGTGCATTCACCTGAGAAACTGAAGAAGCATCGCGTCAATGAACATCGTTTAGTTTTTGAAAGGTTAATAATTTAAAAAAGTTTGTCTGGAATTAACTACTCCGAAGAAGGTTGGGATTCCAAATAATCTTCTCTCATTTGTAAGTTAGGATAAAACTTTGATTATTTCTGACTTTTTTTTACTTACGAATATTTTTTTACGCTTGACAAAGTATGATAAATGTTAAAATTCGATTTTTAGTCATGTCAACTTTTAGCAATTCTTATTCATTTATAATTATACCATTAGCATTTTTAAAATACAAATTTCGAGCGCACAATCAGTTTTATTTGAGGACCAAGTAAGGTCGAATTTTTATTCTTTTTTTGTTAAAAATTTAATTTGAAGAGACTGTTTCAGATTTGGGTGTTCGGAATGTTTTCGAAAATTCCACACTTGTAGTGCATTTAGGAAGCACTCTTGCAATGTACTGTTAAAATGTTCATGTGGAATTGGCACACTATTCACAGCAGAAGAATTCGAGAAGCATTTCGAAATCCACTTAAATTCGATGAAGGATTTTTGTCTTCTCTGCAACAAGTACATGTTTTCGGTGTGTAATTTGATTTTGTAAAAATGTTAAGTTTATTTTATGATATGTAAATATATCTGGATTATGTTTCGTTCATAAATGTTTCACCTGAAGAGTAATTTGCTAAGAAAGTAAAATAGTAATTATAGGAGTTTAATTTTTTTGATAATTATAAAGTTTATTTTTAAGAAGGATCAGCTTTTTTCCCATATGATGTCGCATCGGATTACCGTAAATGGTAAAAGACAGTTGCTTCAGTTGAATACGCTAGAAAGTGTGCTGCCGTTTCCTGCGCCGAATACTGCTCTGCAGAGTAATATGAACATAAATATTCCATCGAAAGAAGTGAGTGATTTTTCAAGAAAAATAAGATAGGAACTATATGAATTAATTACTAAGTTCAGTTTAGTCAAATTTTTTTTTAGCAGCGTTTTATCATAGTCACTATTATAACAGTATGAAAGTTTTTTGTTGAATTCTACATTATCGAAGGCCAACTTAGGAATTCTCATTTCAGTTTTAATATCGCTGGCTTTTTGAACTTAAGTTTCAAGGATTGCATTTCTATTTTTTTGCATCTTCCAGAAAAGATTACGATATATCTAAATTGAATTTTTAGAATTATTAGTAATGAGTTAAGCATCAACATAAACTGAAATATTTTTTTGTCCAAATCATTTTTTGTTCTTTCTTTTTTGTACTTTTAGCAATAACCTAAGCTAGACTATTTAACAAGTTTATGTGGGTCACTAATTTATCTTTACAGCGTAGCGCTACTGCATTTCCATTTGGAAAAGTGAAGGTGAACAATGACGACGAAATCCAATTTTTAGGACTCGAATGTCTTACAAATGATGTAAATAGCAGTGAAAATAAAAATCAGAAAAAACAAGGTGAATCATTTCTCTGTAAAAGTGTATTGATCTTACACTGCCCAGTGTTTTATTTACATTTCTCTAAAGTAAATAATTCAATTTCTAAAAATATTTAATGGAATAATTGATTTTGAAGAAGTGTCAAATAAAAGTTCTAGATAGTAAACTTTAATATTTTCTTTCTAGATACTGGTAGAAATCATACTACTGAACTCAGTAAATGAGCTATTTTTTTAGGTGATGATAGCGATGTGGTATTATTGACGGAAACTGTTCCAACTAACTTTATGACCAATATTCGATCAGAAATCGGTGCTGCTATCGAAACAGTACCTTCATTTTGTACGCATTCCGTGGGAAATGCGCCGTCTGAATCAACTGTCAAATTTCCAGCGGGTTAGTACAATTCATTTTCAACTTTAAAGAAATTAAGTAGTTATTTGGATTTATATGAGATCCAAAATCAAGTAATTAAATTTCATAACAAACGAAGAAAATGGGTGAGTTTCTTTCTTGAAAGCAAAAGTTTGGAATGCCTGAATTAATTGCATATATGTAATGAAAAACTGGTTAAAATTCAGGTAATTTCATACGAAATCTGAATTGGCCGTCTTTTATTGTAGCAAATTTTCTATCTAAAATTTTTTGGAATTTATTTTTTGAAAATAAATGAAGTAGCAATAATGTCATAAGGGATGTAATCATGGAGTACCTTGATCCTGTAACATTTTAGTGAACTACTCAGAAAGCCTAGTATTTTTTGGATATAGCTGGTTACTAATAATTTATTACGCAATTTATTACAGATGAAATTGCATCTGTTGAATCTAGTTCATTTGCTACGGTATTTGATGTTAATGCTGCTAACACAGTATGCAGCATTATAGATGAGCAGATTTCGGCAACTGCAAGTGAACATTCAATCAGCACTGTGGAAAAAGAGCTTACTTCTGCAAAAGCATCATCTGTTCGTATAGCGATTGATGATGAGGATGATATATTAATCATCGATGAATTAAAAAATGTAGATTTTCGATTTTCTGACTTTTGTTGATGAATCATTGATAATTAGTTTACGGATTGCTCACATTTCACTTTTAGTGATATCGTTCCAAGCAGATGCATCTAATGTCTAGAATTGGCACTAAAAGATGTTAAAATGAAGAATGATTTTAGTTAAATCCCATCAATCACATGAAAAAGTAGTGCGTTACTTAAAAGTAAACAGTATAGAGATTTGTAAGGCTTGGTATCGATGATAATTTTATAAGTAATTTGATAAATTCAGGAGAGCCTTGGTGACGATAAAGAAGCTTTAAAAGAAGTAAAAAGGGCTGGCGACAAAATTGGTGATCCGGAGTTGGAGATTATTGAAAGCGCTGGAAGGTTACTGTTTTTTTTGTTGTTGAAATAGGTTTTTTCAAAAGCTCTTTGTCTCTCGCACTATTTTGCATTATATGTATTATATGCATTATATGTATGGAAATAAAATTGTTTTATTACTTAGTAAATGGTGTTTTTGGATTTATTGATTTTGCTGTGCTGAAACTGACTAACTTAAATTTTTTTTAATCATAGTAATAATTTTCATGCAACACAAATTATTTTTCTGTTCCACATTGTATTTGTTTTAATACTTGAAATGTTAACGTCCCTAAAACTTGTGTTCACTCGAAATCCAGTTTTTCTGTAAACCACTGGCCTGAAGATACATGAAATTTTAGGTGCATTGGGTCTCATAAGATTTCACAACGTGAAGCGAGGTTCTGCTGCAGTCAGTGCACCGAAAAGTTTCTTACGAAGGCTTCTTTGCTGATACACAAAGAGACTCACAGATATGATGCTGGTCAAACGATCGCGGCGGTTGGTTGGCTTTAAGCAACAAACTTACAATAAGGATTTGATGCTAGACTCGTTGTTTAATTTAGTTTATAAAATTTTAATCTTAGGTTTACGGAATCCCTATTGAAACAACTTTATACTTATGTCGTCTGTGTTGTTTGGCATACGAATCACAAGCAGTGTACCAGATGCACATGCGTTCTCATGGCTTACTACAAAATTGTGAACGGTGTTCTGTAGTAGCATTTAACGAGGAACAGATGAGGAATCATCAAGATCAACACGTTCTCTCGGCTGGTAGACAACAAGCGGTTTATGTTTGTTCGAAATGTGTGACTACTTATTCAACGGTTAGATCTGAACTAATTTTGTTTAAAGAATAATAATTTAAGATGCCGAGTCTCGAAAAATTTTTCTTCGACTAAGTGAATGATTTTACTGGGTGGGTGAAATGGAGAAGACAAAAGGCAATTCGTTGCATATATGTCAACTGTTTTCAACTATTTTTAGGATAAACGTTTGTATCATCACATGTTTGTTTCCCATGCACAGGCTATACTTTATTTCTGTAAGAACTGTGGGCTGGCAAACACTAATGGACGTGTAGTCCATGAACATATAGTACGAAGAGAATGTTCTTGTCAGGTATGTTTCATACTTCAAAAACCGGTCATCCGATGTTTAGTTTTTTAGAAGAGAGTGATTTTCACTTTGACATTTCATCCATATTAAGGATGCTCTTTCTCTATTCGCTTTATCCTTAGTTTATTGGGTGGCTTTTAAAGAAAAACCACGCTGATAAATCAGGTTAACAATTTGCCCTGCTGAACATATATACAAGTTTAGCAGTTTCATCTTTTTGTTTCAGAATTTATCATCATTACCAGAATTTATGATTATGGGTTTTACGGCTGCATGCATATTTCATTACCAACCAACAAATCCGGTCCAGTATGAGAACAGAGTACGCAATGGCGAACTCCTTGTAGTTATTCCATCAGAATGCATTCATCGATCATTCTTGTCCCATCCGAATGATGTCATTAGCATCACTTGTCCAACGTGTAATTCACTGGTTAGTTTTCGTTAAGCTAATCCTTATAATCTGTTTATTTGGATTTTATGTCGATGAGTGAAGGATTATTTCCTGAATTTAATCTCCTTTATGTTTTGAGTTTTACAAATTTTTAGATGAGTTTCCTGCGACTTCAAGCGGAAAATCCGATATTCACTGGAAGCCTGCCGGTTCGTTTTAACCGTTGTTAATTAATTAAAGTTCTAAATTTTGGTAGAATTTAGTGTTATCTATTTCATCTGTTAAGTTTAAAAACTACACGTATCAAATACTCACGCGTGAAATCGATATTTCGTATATTTCATTGTTGACACATCTAGCGTACTCTCAATCATGCTGCGGATGACAATGATGACATGATGTTGATGCTATCAAACATTTGGAGAATGGAAAATATCAGTCAGCAAGCTAGCACTTTGAACACACGAAACCCTCAGGCGCCCACTTTAGTCGATTTTCCTAGTACATCATGCACATTATCGCAAGTTGCCGTACCGTCTGGTGACCCGACACATGTTGTTCGGAATGCTATGCTCTTGCCAGTCTCTCTTTCTGGAGTTTGCATTTCCCAAAATGTTAGTAATTTTACTCTGTTATAGTAAAACAATGGTAATCTAGTCTTTTTTGATTCGGGCTTTGCAGAATTGAAATTCACATGCTCAATTTTTAAACAGTTTGAGATTTTAAAAAGCGTAATTTCATTTCTTCAATAGATGTGACCTTTTAGCAGTCAAGAGGAGTGCCGAGTAACATTGGTATTAGGCAACCATTATCTCAAATTTCATGGGTTCCAGCTCGGGAAGCATTGACAGCAGCTTCAGCCGCTGTTTTGTTCCCTTCATCATCATTACAGACTACAGTAAGTGAACTGTCAATGAATATAATTTCGAAAACGACATACTGTAATTCTTCATTGCTGAAGAATCATTGAAATGTCGCCTGACTTGAACAAATAATTTTTTTCTTCTGATATTCTCAACTCCGAGAATCTCTGAATCAACATATTTTCACTTCAACAATGCTTTTACTCTTTTTAATTTTTCATGTTTAGTCCGATTCGACGTCAAGAGCAACTGCAGTTGTATCACATGTTCGTTTTTCAGCTACAGTTATTTATGATGTGATATCTGTAAGAAAGAATGAATGTAGCACAGTTAGGGACTTGATTTTTGCATTGCATAGCTGTAGGAATAGAACAGCATCCTAGCAGTGGCTCCGTCCACATCACCACGGTTTGTATCATCATCTTTTCAATACAATCTTGCAGGAAAGTATCTATTCCCGAATATTTTAGGGTACAAATTCTCATCCGTGCATCCCAGCAGTGGCTCCGTCCACATCACAACCGTTTGTATCATCTATCTCTACGCTAGCTGGTGCTGATTCATCATCATCGTCTTCGAAAATACCACCTTATTTACAGGTAACTTAATTTCTTGCAACTTTATGTTGAGAGTAGACATGTACATTAGAAAGCGTGAATTTGCCGATTTAGCCTTATCGCGGTGTGCTCGAAGCAGTCGGTCTAACAGTTGTCACTCAAATGGTTACGCGGGACTATATCGTGAAGAATACTGAGGGTGGATACTTCTGTACTAAATCTGGATGTGCCAATGTGCAAATCGAAAAGATTACCAGTGGACGTGTGCATAATTTGCGCCATAATCCACAGAATATTTTTTTTTGTTTGGAATGTGGCAATGCATTTCCATTCGAAAATCTCGTTGTGAATCATATGGTTGAATTCCACCATCAAAAGCAGAGTTAGCACCATTTGTTCCTTTTCAGAGATCTCTCAGTTTGTTTAATTATAGAATTTGTCTTTTGATTTTCGTAAATAATTATCCAGTATGGAATCATATTGAGTGTAAAAACTGTAGAATCATCTCTGCGCAACACATCTAACCTCTAGAAATGAATCTGAATCTGGGCCTTGAATCAGTTGATGGTCATTTGTCGATATTGTCGATTTAAATAGTTTAAAGACTGGATATATTGCGCAGAGATAATATTCCAGTAAACACAAATTTAACCAATTAAATGGACTTGCATATTTGAAATGTCAAAAACGATTATTTATTCTGATTTTATTTTAAGCGCCGTCACTAAACTTGCGCTGTTCGTTATGTCCGAAAATCCCTCCATTCACGCAGATAGAGCTTTTTAAGAAGCACATGGCCGAGTCTACAGCGCACTCAACTGCTACTCATTATTTCAGTTTTAAGCAAAGGTTTTTTACATTCTGTCCCTTTCTTTCGAAATTTAAAATCACAACCTGAAAGTGACAAAGATTATGCAGGGTGCTATAGTGTTCTGAGTATTAGAATGCATTAGAAATTTCTTATATTATGTAGTTTAATAATTTTGTCAATTATCAGTGGGATCTAATTTGCAGTGTAGTTTGTATATTAAACTTTTTTGTTTTTCAGATGCAGACTACGGTTTCATTCAATAGAAGCACGCTTGCGACATGACCACGAGCATCGTGCAACGAAAAATGCGTAACTTTTTAGTCATTTAAAAAAATCTTTCGCACTTTAAGAAACGTATAGGGGTATATGGCTGCATGTTTACAATCGAACTGCAAAAAGGGTTATATACAAGTGGAAGAATTGTTTTGAGTTAAAAATTTTATATGTTTAGTGCAGAGAGACCACTAATTTTTTGTATATGGTGTAGGAACTTCAATAATATCGACAAGAGTTAATGAGAACATATAGGGGATATTTCATATTCTAACTGTAGTAGATATTCTAAGACAATTTATTATCCGCAGTAGAGTAGTCAACTCGGGCAGCTCGAATCGGTGAGAATTGGGCAAGTTATTGAGTTAAAATTTTAGGAATTAGAACATGAAATGAGTGTTGAAATTACGTGTTCTGATAGTGTTAACTTTTTTGATTTCGGTATTTGTGCTTGAATTGGTGGTGGTGAGAAGGTAGACAGGATGAAATCATTTTAAGTTGTTTTCAAATTTAGACCATGTTGTTTTGTGTGCGGCACGAGCCGAAATTGGTGGTCCAGCTCGGCACGAGCTGATTTTCCGTATATTGATCATTCATATATCCATGCGTTTTCTCTTTGGGGTATGTGTCGAGAATGCGGTTTATGTTATCCAAACGAATTGAAGGTCTCTTTTTTTGGTTATTTTTGAGGGTTCCTGAAAGATTAACTTTAAAAAATATTGGGGCTCTTAAACGGGATTTCAAGACATTGTTTGTCTGCACGTCTTGGCATAAAAAGTTTAAATATCTTGATATTACACAGTATGTTGATTAAGTAACAGTTTGAAAAACCATTTGAACTTTGGTCAGGTAAAAATCCGAATAGTCAAAAAATTTTTTCAAAAGTTTTTGACATATCTCATGATAACTGTATTGTGAAGCGTCCTGTTTTCCGAATTATGAGGGATTGTGTGGCGAACAACTTGATTTTGTGGTGCATATTATGCTTTTGAGTCGCACAAATTTTTATTACATTTTTTTTCTGAGAATTGATTTTTATTTAAATTTCACTTCTATTTCAGAATCAGCAGTATTTTCATCATTTTGAAAATCAGCATACGATCAAAGCATTGAACACTTGGCAGTGTAAAATATGCAACATAGAAATTGACAACTGCAATGTCCATTTACATGCACTGCAACGTCATTTTGTAAATTTTTGTTTTGATATTTTTGATATGCTTCCTTCTTTACTGATTAAATTTCAGATTAGGGAATTTGAGATCTTTTGTAGGTTATTTCTAACTGTCGATTTGCTTATGCGCTTCATTTCTCGGGAAATTTTTTTAAGAAAATGAAAACTATTCGGGAATTTTGTGTGACTAATCAAATCATATCAATATTTTGTATAAAAAGAAGCTTTAAATTATAGATTAAATTTTCACCTTTTTCGCTTTTGATGATTTTCATAAAAAACTTGGAAGTTTCGTCAAAATTAATGAGAAGATATTGAGCAGAATTGTATATTTAACTTGAAGTCTTTTTTAGGTTATAGGTGTTAAAACAAATCGACGAAAGCCTTATGCCGTTGAAACGAGTGATGCAATAATGCGTGCTTTTCTAGGCTATCCAGTGCCAGATAATGCGAGGATTTAAGAATTAGGGTGGTTTATGTTTATCTTTGTTGTTGCTCTTATTAACCGTGCTGTTACTTATCACTTACTTTAATCGCGTTTTGTTCCCGATTTTTGCATTTGGAATTATAGGGGAGGTGGGTTAGATTAATTTATAGGGCGAGTTTTATGAAACAATATAAATTTAATTATAATTTGTGTCCAAATTACATGTTTAAGTGGAAAACTCATTGAAAGAATTGCTGTTTCTCACCATCCTTTAAGAACTAATTTTTTTATTCGAGATTAAATAGACTGTTTCATGTGCTTTCCTGTTATGTCAGCCTGTTCGTTATTCTGAATTATCAATTTTATTTATTTGATTTAATTTTTGGTGCAACTAAATGGATTGTTCTTCGTTAAAGGGCAAGAATAAGGCGGGATTTCTCATGGTCTCTAGGACTAAAGCGAATGCTTTATAAAAAGTGATAGAAATTATAAAGTCTTTAAATCGCGCCATAATGTCGTCACTATACTTTCTTTTTTGACTTTTTAATGATAAATTTTGTTTTGTTACTGATCTCAAAAGTTACTGTGACAGTAGCTTTTTCATTCCTTGTTTGCTTAAATATTTTCCTGGCAATTTCAATTTTACTAATTGAAACAGATATGCCAGAAATGTAGTTTTCAATGTTCATAATGCTGGATTAATGCCAAAATAAAGCAGACTTTTTGAGAACTTGTAAAAAATCAGGAGTATGGTTCTTTTGAATGGATTTCATCCCCTTAAACCGAATGTACGTGTTATTTTGCTCCTCTATATTTTCCTGCTTTACATATGTTTGTTTATTATAGAACCAAAAATCTTGTTCCAATTTTGGTAATTACGAGAGATAATTGATCATACAAAATGTACTGTGTCTTATGTTTGCAGCGCTGTGCTTCACAAGGTTTTTTTGACAAATAGTGTATTATTCAACTTCAGACGTCTCCTGTGCTAAATAAAAATCGCGTGAAAACATGGGATTATGCTTAGCAGTTATTGTTGCTCAATCGTACGGGAAAATGGTTCGTAAATTCCAGTCTGTGAGTGGATAACACTTAGACATTCCCTAAGGATTACATAGCATATACAAATTCGTTTCCAAAATTTAGACATTTCGCCATTTCGAAAGTTCCATGTAAGCCAAGAAGATATTTCGGAAGCATGAAAGCATGAGGAATCTTGTTCATCTAACCGACTAAACCAAGTGGTGAGTCAGGCGAAATGGTTTCGGTTGATATCCCAATGTTTCATTGGGAATTTTCAACTTTGAAAAGAAATGGATACCCTCCACATGTCGTCCATAAGTGATTTATCATGCGAAAACAGAGATTCGGCTCGAAACATTGCTGCTGTTAATATTATCATCCACATTATAGCAAGAATAGAACCCAGCCAAAGATGGGCACTTCTAAACATAAAATTTTCGAGTAGCAAGGAACTGATGAAAGCATTAATAATCTTAATATCAAGTGATGACACTACTCTTATTTTTAGCAGAAAAACTTCATGGAAAAACTCGTAAATTTTTGCAAATCTAAAGTGAATTGCTACGTGAATCTCAGAAAAGTTTCTTATTCAACTTTTTTCAAAGAATTTAGAGATAATGCATATTAAAATCCGAAGACCTTGTTGTCGCCCAGAAACAGTTCGCGTCAATCCCCGGCTGCATAATAACCGATCACAATGAGGCAATCATTAACAATGGAGAAAAATTCTCAGACGCCACAAAATAAACTCAAAATGATTGAATCAGACAGGAAAAAAGAACAGACCGAGAAAAATCTGGATCTCCCGGGTGGCGGTAGCGCACACACACCATCCCTTCCTTCAAATTTCTACTGACTCGATCGAGATGAAGATTTTCATTCTGGGTATGAATGATTTCGGATTAGTCGTAATTATAAAATGGAGCAGGTAGTTAGCGATGAAATGTGGCTATTTATTTGCTTGTTTGCTTTTGTCTTATTCACTTATTCTCCACTTGAATGTACGTACGTTAAATCCGTCAAATGCATTCATTCTTCATTCGGAGTTATTGACAGTTTACTTCTGATTCGTTCGGTAATTTTATCACTGCACTGTTTCTTTTCTGTTATTCCTATAATTTTATTGCTGCATTAGATGTAAATTTTCAAATGATGCAGATGTAAATGGTTATTTCCTTTTTCAATAATATATATATATATATATGAAATAATGAAAAGATACGTGTTGGATTTATATATTGAATGTAAGAAATGCTTTTTAGTAATAGACATATTAAACATAGATACTGTCATTATAGACTGTTAAATGAGCAAGCATATGATGAAAGAAGATGTAGATTTAACTTTACATGAGAATTTGTTGCTTTGGAAACATCAAAATATATCATTCGATTCCTGTAAAAAAATTTAAATAGGTTTTTTGATTAAAAATTTGCTTACACATTATATGCAGTCATAGCTAATAACATGTCTTAAGCTTATTATGACATCAGTAAAAAGCACCTTTTAAAACTTTTTCACCTTGAAATGTTTGCACTTCTTTCTCTAAATGTTCATTTCCATAGCCAATTTTATTTCGCCGTTTTGTTGTGTCTTCAAATCGTTGACATTTTAGACTTGTTGTTATTTTAATAGTGTTTTCTACGCTTTGTCTCCAATGAATTGCTCTTTTCTCTCCTTTAGTATCTTTTTCCTTTTTTTTTCTAAATCTATATAGAACACTCTCCCATTTTCTTTCTGGTCACTCAACTTCTTATCAGTGTTAATTGGTAAAATTAAATATGCAAATCACTTGACTATATTTCTTCGTTTCTTCAATTACATAGCATAATCATTCATTCGGATATTTCCCAAATTTTTGCAAAATATTTTCTAGTTTTAACTGGACTGCAATTAATAATTATCGATTTCTGTTTTCATTTCAGTGGGATTATCATACGAAGTGGATAAACGTGTCCGTCTATTGTTTTATCATCTATCTTTTCGTTAATCGTGATATCTTGGCATTAGGTTTTCTTTTTTCATAAAATAAGTACTAATTCGTTGAATGAAATTATGTTCTCAAATAATTTTGGCATTGGAATACCAATTATTTTATATACTCAGATATTTACTATTTAGTAATTTATGGTAACATATACGTTAACACCAATTATTCAATATGTTTAGAAGAAGGAATCAACTTCAAGTCTAAAACTTTTGGTTAAAATTTGATTCAAACAGATCGAGAAAATAAAAAAAGCTGCAGGACGTGATAAGGAAGAGCTTCCATTCGAATTTATGTTAAAGGGAAGATAGATAGTTATTTCATTTATTTGCTTGTTTGCTTTTGTCTTATTCACTTATTCTCCACTTGAATGTACGTACGTTAAATCCGTCAAATGCATTCACTCTTCATTTGGAGTTATTGACAGTTTACTTCTGATTCGTTCGGTAATTTTATCACTGCACTGTTTCTTTTCTGTTATTCCTAATAATACAGCTATGCCGAAAATGGTAATTGCATGCAAAAAGTTGTATTTATATTCTATTTGTCAGATAATTTTACTTTGAATAATAAAAACAATTCTATCAGATAATTTTACTTTGAATAGCAAAAACAATTTTTTATTAGGGCCTACTTGCTCAATTTTTATCTTTTTATTTTTCAGTCCCATGTCTTACTAATGAAATCGAAAGAGAAAGTTGGATTTGGAATTGGAAAGAAATTAGAACGGCTGTATACATCATTTAGGTTCCACTTAAGTGTTGCTAAAATGGTTTAATCGTAGATGGATTTATTTAGAATTTCAAGTTGTGTACTTGCAATAAAAAAACTCGTTACAGCTTTTTATTCATTTTCTTCTTCTTAGCGATAGCTGCAAAAAATTACTCTTAAAAACTTAGTTATATGTCACCATAGATATCCTCGATGATAAATAAAATAGGAAACGAAAAGAACGAAAGGGTTGAATGATGCATGTAGTCAAAAAAATAATTGAAAATTTTAACTCTAGGCAATTGAAATATTACTTTTTTTAGTCTCATGCAGTAGCTATTAAAAAGCATTATCACATTTAAAATCATCCTTCTTTCCTCACTGTTTTAAACAATGATCAAGTTTAAAGAGCCGTTCGAAAATGAAGATTTCGTTAATGAGTGATTCGATGAAATCAAACAGGACAGATAGAATTTAAGATCACTTCATCTTGTTTGTACTTTTTTCCACTCATTATTTATTGGATCATTTCGTTATTTCGTTCAAAACTTTGCTCGAGACTAATATACCACTTAAATTTTTGCTCAATACAATTTAAGCAGACTGTTATAATAATGTAGATCTTTTTTGTGAACTTTTTGCAACTTAAAGATGAAATGGAAGTAAGAGAATGTGTAGCAAAAGCATTAAGTGGCTCACTATCTTTGGATTCCAATTATTGTTGGATCTGGAAAATTGTTAAATTTCTTCTAGTTTGATTGAAATATTTTAATTGGGTTAGTTATTATTAGAATTTCAAATCGGTAAATAAAGCACACTTAACATAGGTTTATTCAAATGATGTGATTATCTGCAAGAGTTTAAATATGTAATAAGTTCGACCACTTTTTGGGCTATTTATTACATGATTGTGCAATATTTCTGATTGGTACATTAAAGAAATTTATTTGTTGGTCGTTTTTCGTAAAATTTTACTGCCTCTTCTTGTGTCTTGTTTAAGCGGTGTATAACTTTCATTAGTCATTTCTTTTGCAGTAAAGCATTTTTGGATTGTTTTCCATCTTGGCTTAACTAAATTTTTAATTTTTTCTCTCCAGATGTTTCTGATTATACAATTTTTCAGAAGTTTAAATTTGGTACATACTAATCTATCCTTTCCATTTTGTTGTTTCAATTTTTCTTCTATATAACTAATCTGACCATCCTCGATTGTAGTATGATGTTATCATTTTAAAATGAAAAAGTTCGATAAGTTTTTTCTGGTAACTCAGTCTTCTTTTTTAAATGAAAGTTATCTTTCCGTGCAAGACTTTTTAACTGCTTTAGATGAAAGTCATTTTTCCTCCCAGCAAGAATTCATTTTTTTCATCGCTTAAAATTTTAGAAGTTATATTTTGTAAGAATCACTAACAAAGGCCAAATCATTTAGCTGAAGGAAATGCTGTGAAAAATGTTGTGAAGGATTTAGCCCTTTATTGTTGTACATTGTTTCAGTAATTATACGATATATATATTAATGCAAAAATTTATCTATGTAAAAATTTATTTTTCGTAAAATTTAAAAAGACAAAATTATCCAAAAATGTTCTATTTCTTTTGCCAATAAGTAGCGCGGAAAATTATGAAACTCAGAATGTAATGTATTACGCACGTTCTGCAGAATTTGCAGAATATTCTAGACTTCTGGTTATTCTTTGCAGATGAAGAGCAATATTATATTCTCCAAAATATATTTACTAAACACGAAACATATAAGTTATTAAAAAATTGATTTTCGAACGGTGAAATTATGTAAATTATGTATGCTTCTGGCGCTATTCAAAAGTGAATGAGCAAATAATATATATTTTATTGTCCTGAACAAAAATATAGGTCATTTATTTACATCCATTGTGTCATATTATTTGTTTGTGCATTATTCGTTTCAACGGTATGATGCTGCACTATGTTCAAGTCAAAATAGTTTATGATGGTATTCATTTTTTGGATTGCAAAGGATTTTAAATTAAAGAAGTGGATTTGGGTTTAAATCTCAAGTATAACTTTGTGACCAAAATTTTAGAAAGAGTAATCCGTAAATTAACTTGTCTATTTATTTGCATTTATTTGCAACTTGTCTATTTATTTGCAAAAAATGAATTCAGTTGTAAAATCAGGCTGTAACAGAGCAAACTTAATTGGAAAATTAGAAAAAGTCAAATTATTTCGGCCGTAGAAAGGTTCCTCCAATTTTTGCAGGGACTACGGAGTTTTCATTTTCTAAATATGGATGTGGAATGGACTTTTATCATATTTATCATGTAATAGGACGTTTAACATGAACGCTGCGAAGATCGACTTTAAAGTAATAAAACCGAGATGAAGGAATTAAAAAAAAGATTAATGCTTCTGGGAATAGCTTGACAACTAGTAAGTTAATTGAAATGTATGAGAAGCAGTTAGAACTGGGAATAAAAGAGGAGAGAAAAAGCATAGGTAGATGACCAAGATTGTTTGATCATATCCTTCCCTATTCGCTTCCATGAAGTCATCCTTCCCAATGCATTTTCTCTGAAGTAATGTAGAGCATCTATTAGAACTTGATGTTGTTGATATATGCATGTGCTTCTGTATCAGGAAACGGAAAGAGAAGCTGCATTTATTCGAACTCTGCCAATTTGGACATATCTCCATTTTGCACATTAGACGTCGAACAATCCCTTCGTACCAGTCGAGGTGAAATTAATATAACATATTTGCAGCAGTGTAGTTTTGCTTGCCTTAAAAATTAACGTTAGTTTCAGTAATCTGTGATTAATGCAGTAATTACTAGTTTCTCTATGAATCATTGGAACCGTTATATATCTTTCCGGGCTCTTTCTTTATTCAAAATTCTTTTAACATAGAAAAGTGAAAATAAGAAATTTTCTTTGAAACTTCAATAGAAATTATTTCTATAAAATCATTCCATTCTTTTATCTGCTTTTGTTACTGTTTTCCTCCTCTTTCCACAGCATTCCTCAAATTTAAGTTTTTAATTGCATTCTAATATTGCTGATTGTTTTTCATAATTAGCAAAAGTTATCAGTTATCATCGACTAGTTGAAACTTTCTGAATCTTCATTATGCTCTTTGTAGCTTTTTAGTTTTGCAGGAAAGCTCCTCCTTTTTATCGGAAGTTTCTGATTGAAAAAGATGGAATTATCACAAAAGAGGAAGAATTACGAATACACACACACACACACACATATATATATATATATATATTGAAAAAATAAAGGTTACCGTATGACCATAAAAGTACAAAGGTTTTACCAACTTTAAATATTTATGAACTAATATATATATGGCCTGCGAGACTCTGTTTGATATGCAGCATGAGAATATTTTTTAGGAATCGGTTTTTTTTTAAGAAAATTTTGAATTTTGTAAAACCCAACTTTTATTCTCATTATCTATTAGTGTATATGACACATAAAAGATTTGGCGAAAACTGTTGTCATCATCACCAAATGCATATTCAGATTGCGTTTAATGTGAATCCAAATTAAACCTCCATTCTTTATATTTGAAATCTTACGCATATGTGATTTTTCCTCCTCATAATTCTCATTTTTAACTTCTTTATTCTGTAAAATGTAAAGTCATTTTGAATGCATAAATTATTAAACTGTTTCTAAAACAACGACTTTGTTTGTTTGGTTTGGTTTGGATTGTTTTTAGCTTTCCGTTGCTCGCTTGTTTCTATTTCAAAAAAGTTTAGCAATTTTCGCGTAGTGGGCTCGCGTTTTCATTGCTTGTCAGTGTTAGCAGTACATAATTAATTTACAGATCTAAAATCTGAATTCGGTAATATCGAAAGTAGCGCGAAATAGGTACAGCGAAACTGGAGTGCAAAGGTAGTTGCAGATATTTGTCATCTTCAGAGCTGACGAGCATAAGCTGACGGTAAGGTAAGTAGCTTTTTTTGTGTAATGAGTTTTGTAATAAAATTATAATTCACAGAAGATTTCTCCAAAATTTTTGAATTTATTTGTCTTTCAAAAGTCGTTAAGAAGGGAGAACTTTAGTGATTATTATCACGAAGGTTAGGATGAAGGTAAAAGGTAGATCTACCTACAATTCTAGTCAGTAATTTGCAAAGTTTCCTGGTCTTTATATAAATGGTCGAAATGGCTGTGATTTTACCTTGAAATGATTTTGGTCTGCATCTGCTACTATTTTGAGTAAGCTGATATATAGAATTATAGTTTAAATCGGAAGGAAGAGGAGATTAAGTGCAAATAAACAGGGTTTTGGTATCAAAACTTGTGATAATAACTGTATTGCTCAAATAAATGGTTTAAATACTTATGAGGCAGGAAAAATGAGTCTTTACAACGGAAGGTTTTAAATAGAAGTCCAAAAAAAACTAAAATTGAAGGATTAAATTGAATGAAATCAATCTATTTTTACATTGTTTGCATTGCAATTGTTTTTACCATGTAACTTAAAAAATTGTTAATTTTACCTATTCTTCTTTTACAAACACAGGAAATACAGTGATAATGGTAAGGTATTCGGAATGGTAATTGTTTCATTTTCTTATGTCGAAAGTATTAGTATGTCCTTCTTATCTCATACCCTTATCCTGATTGTTTTCATTTTCTTATGGCGAAAATTTCAATGCCATGTCAACTCACTCTTATTCGTGTTCATTTTCATTATTGTTCATGATCATTATTCCCTTCACTCTTTCTACAATTTCGATAAGTGTTTCGTCGTAAGTATGCTAACCTTAGTATTGCTCAAAAAAGAGAAAAAACATTTGCACTTTTTTACTTGCTAGACATCCATAGTTTCGTAAATTACAAAGCAATGAGTTTTACAAAGAAAATTGATGTTGGGCAATATATAAAATTGCTTTGTAATCTATTCCCTTTAAGTATGCAATACTTTTTTAGTATGAAATGACAATTCTCTACATTCTTCTTACAATTGACAGTAGTAATTCCTTCTAATATCATTGTTTTTTATCGTATAAAAATACAGTATTACAACGTTTTTTTTATTCATAAACTTCATAATAAATGCATTTGTTGCAGTTGTAAAAAATTCACTCAAATGGATAAACATAGGAAATGAGTAAAAATTTTTCAATAATTGACGTATCCTTCCTTTCCTGCATTTCATCTTTCTCTTTTTTCCCCATATTTAGTGCCTCTTTTATTCCTGAATTATTACAATGAACAATAATTTTCACTTCTATGATTTAAAATCTTTTATAATCCAAAAAGTTAATATCATTATAAACTACTTTGACTTGAACATAGTACTACATCTTACTATTGATACGAATAATGTAGAAATAAATAATATGACAAAATGGATATCAATAAATAACATGTGACAAAAAATATACGTTATTTAATTATTCATTTTTATATTAATTATTTATTTTTTTATATTTTATACTACCAGAAGTATATGTAATTTGTATAAATTTTATCAGAAATGTCACACGAAAGTTAATGTGGTGCGGAGGATAAAGATGAGCATTTCGATAGAAATCAGTTTATTTTCTGTTATTTATGCAGCTTTCGAAATCGAAATGTGCATTTGTTTTATACTAAAATATTCTTCTGCAACAAATTCTTACGTTAAGAAAAATCATACTTGATCCTTTTTAATTTTTTTTCATATCTTTGCTCTCTATTCTGTGTTTAATAATGTTTAATTGTTTCGATGCCAGTCGTATTGAGAATTGTAAAAAATTGAACATAACATGATTTTATTTATCTCAGTAGCAAATGTTGAATAGAGCAAGGGAATTGATCGTCGAAAGACTAGTAATATTAAAAGTTTAATATAGGATATACAGGTGCCATTTATCAGAATTCCCCTTTTTATTGACAAAGGTGACAAATAAGAATCTTATTACAAAAAAGTATTCTCTTTTGCAATTAATCTTTTTTCTTTTATCGATAAATGACAACAACGGTGGAAGTGCAAACAAAAAGTGGTGTCGAGGAGGTGCACGGGCAAGTTTTCGAAGTTGGGCCACGTTATGTGAATCTTTGCTATATTGGGGAAGGAGCCTACGGAATGGTGGTGTACGTTTTTATTAATAATTATGTTATTGGGTATGAATTTTATTTTCCTGAAGAATAATGGGTTTCAATTACGTTTTGTCATGTTTAAGTGCAGCTGTTTTTCTGACCTTTTCTTTTGAAATTTATGTAAAGATCTTTTAAATGACTTTTGATGACAAGGGAATGCTTGCAGATATACGTTCATTTTTCTTTTTTATGTAGGAAGTTTTAATAAATGCTTGAGTTTGAATATTTCAAAGAGAGATAACGTTGAAAAAATCTTGATTTTTATCTTCAAATATACTCAAATGGTCGAAAAATACATTGATATGCATAGCAATTGTTGACACAGCAGATTTATTTGGTGATTAATTTGTTAAAATTGTTTAGGTCAGCATTGGACACGGAGACCCATGAACGTGTCGCTATCAAAAAAATCTCACCATTCGAACATCAAACATTCTGCCAAAGGACACTTCGAGAAATTAAGATTTTAACTAAATTCAAACATGAAAATGTAAGCTGATTAACGGAATTAGCAGATGGATATTAATAAAATGCAGGATTCTATGTATTTCACTTTTACAATAAGTCTATGCTTAACATAGTATATTTAAGTATATATACTTCCGCAAATCCAACTGAAATTTTTGCATTTTAAAAAAATGTCATGAAAAATTCTCACTTTGTAAACATATTGTGAGTCATAACTCACCTGAGATAGTTCTAGGAATTTGCTTAGCACATGTACAGCTTTAATAATGTAATGATTTCATTGCTAATATCCAACTGAAGAATAAGATTTGGCATACGTCGTAGATATGATGAAGCTAAAAATCTTGGTTTTTTTTCCTCATATCTTTTCTATTGTAGATCATCAACATTCAGGAAATTATCAGGGCACCAAGCGTGGAACAAATGAAAGACATGTGAGTTATTTTCTTTGTTTTTTCAGATAGATATTATTGAAATTTGATAAACTTTATTTTGCTTGCAGAAAGAAGTGAGCATTAACGGATGAAAGAATAATTTAAGACTTTGTTTCCGAAGTATTATAATTTTTCTTCTGAAGTCTTGTAATTCCATATGGTTGCTTTTCAAATTTTTAGTCTTGTTGATATCTTCGATTTTATGATATAACAAAAACTCCAAGTAGGATAAGAATGTGTCATTACTTAATCCAAGTTTCAGCTACATAGTGCAATGTTTGATGGAAACAGATTTGTACAAATTACTGAAAACCCAACGGCTTTCCAATGATCATATTTGTTACTTTTTATACCAGATATTACGTGGTTTGAAATATATTCATTCTGCAAATGTTATTCATCGTGATCTCAAGCCATCTAATTTACTTCTCAATACTACTTGCGATCTCAAAGTTCGATTTTCAAAATTTGGTGAAAAAAAATTTTTTTCAATCAATAGTAGATAATTATTTCTAATTTTGTGATTTTGCTGATTTCCAAAAGTATGGCTTTCTTATAGCATCAACATAAATATTGCAGTTTTCATTTAAAGCCTGTAAGGAATTTGGAAAATGGATGTACTAAGTTGTAAATTTCATATTCATGCTTTAGATTTGTGATTTTGGTCTTGCGCGAGTAACGGATCCTGAACACGACCATACTGGGGTACTGACAGAATATGTGGCAACTAGGTTAAATATTTTTCACTTAACAAATTTTTGAAATTCCCTCACCTCCATGCTATGATTAAAAATATTTCATGTTTCCAATTTGATTTTTAGTTTATCACTCGACTATATTATTCTTCATTTAATGATTGTTTTTCTTTTCATTTTAAATCTTAGATTTGTAAAAACACATTTTTACCGATCACAACCGTTACTCTTAACCTTTTATTTATTTCAGATGGTATCGTGCACCTGAAATTATGTTAAATTCAAAGGGTTATACGAAATCAATTGATGTATGGTCGATTGGTTGCATCTTAGCCGAGATGTTAAATAATCGACCTCTTTTTCCCGGGAAACATTATCTAGATCAACTGAATTTAATCCTAGGCGTTATTGGGTCACCAAGCCAGGAAGATTTACAATGCATCGTTAACGAAAAGGTTCTGATTTTTGTTATTTTTGGTATCATTCTTGATTTTGTTACTGTTGTGGTTTCTGTATTATTTTTGCTGTTATGTAGCAGTAGTAATACATCATTGTTATTCTGTCTGCAGATGAAACTAAAAGATTATTTGTTTGAAAATTTATTTCACTGAAGTTTCTAGCTTTACTTGAATTCAGGCCCGGTCATACTTGCTTTCATTGCCGCACAAGATAAAGCAACCATGGTTACGGATGTATCCAAATGCAGATCCGCGTGCACTCGATTTACTGGATAAAATGCTAACTTTTAATCCGAACAAGCGAATCAGTATAGAAGATGCCCTTGCACATCCATACCTGGAACAGTATTATGATCCGAATGATGAAGTATTATATTTCTTGATTTTTTTTGTTAGATTTAATTTTATTTATTGTGTCACAAGATTTCAAACTTTTCGCATTTTATTTTGACGGAAAGCCTGCTGGTAACTTTAAATAAGTAATGAATAGTTACAGTGAAATTTAATGTATGTGACTATGTGATTTTACTGCGTCTTTACTATTTGAAAAGCTTTGAGTAGTGAGCATTTTACATATATAAGAAGTTTATAGTCACTGAATTGTATTCCATCCAAAAGATAGATGGAATATTTTCCAGCCTATATGCGAAGAACCATTCACTTACGAGATCGAGTATGACGATTTACCAAAAGAAACACTGAAGCAGCTGATTTTCAAAGAAACGGAAGATCATTATAGGCGAACACTGGTAGCAAAGAAAGTAACGCTACCGGAGGAAGTAGAATTGGATTCTGGAATTGGTTCTGCAATCTTAAGTCCTTGAGAGTGGGCAGTATTCGATAATTTATTTCATTTGGGAAATGATTCGAAAAGTTTTTAATTCACCTTTCCTAACTTGATTTGAATCTAAAAAGCTTATCATGTCCATCTGAAATGAAATTTAAGAAACTTTAATCATTCCGTTCTTTCTGGACAAAATTTAGAACTCCTTATAAATTAGAGAAATCATCATGATGGAATGGTGTGTTAATTAAACAGTAAAGATGGAATGGTACGTTAATTAAGTAGTAAAGAAACTATTTGTATTTGTGTCCGAAGTTTGTTTTGTTGAAATTCTATAAAAATGATTTTTTAGAATTTATATCTGAAAACGGGAAATTTTTGAAGTAATATATGCACACTCGCTTTTATTTATACAATCTTGATTGAGTTTTTCCTTTATTGATTGATTAGGTTGAAATTCATGTATCTCTTATCGTTAACGTTCAGTGGATTGTGAAAAAAGTTGCATTCTGTTGTTAGTTTGGAATAAGAAGTTACGCATTTATCAGATCTCAGATCAACCAAGAATTTCGAAACATATTGTTGCGATCGTATTTCTACTTTTACCAATGTTTTCGTTTGGACCAATCTAATTATTTTTTGTGTTTTGCTCTATTTTGTTTTCAATTCTAAACTTGATTGTTCTCGTTTTACTTATTATTTTAACGGTATAATAGCTGGGTAATGTTCAGCGTTTTAATGTGCAGCAGATTATGGAAATTTCAAAATTAGATATTTTCTTTTCACCAGTACGATTATTTCAATAACGAAGACATCCTGTAACATTCGTAATTGGCATTTTCAGTACCTATTTTTTTGTATACATTATGCCATGTAAGGTTTAACTGAAATAAAATTACGAAACTTTCTAATTATTGCAATTAGAATGCCGTTAACATTTCTTTTATTAAATTGATTCCATAATTTCATTTCATTTGAAGTTTAAGAAATTTGAGAAACTTTATTGAACAGCTTTTTCAATTCCATTCCCTGTGTTGCACATATTTTGCTGATTTTTTCATACATGATGATATGGAATCCTGTGATGTTTTTTCCCTATATATACTTTATATTCTTTTTTTCTTTATAAATAATATCTTTCCTATGAAATAATTCAGGATTTCATAGGAAAGATATTATTTTTCAGGATTTTTCAAAGATTTATTTATTTTAGTATAACGGATGTCTGAAATTAGGAGATTGTTTTCTCTTCGATGTTCACAAAAAAATCGATTTGAATATGTTTTCAGATTTCATTGTTAGAATGATAAATTCGCTTATGATTCGTTAATTGCCAATATATATATTAGATAGTTGTCAGCAATGGTTAGACCAAGAGCTTTCCAATATATAATGAGTATTATTATTGTTTGGAGATAAGTTGGAGTGATTAATGAGTTCGAATTTCAAGGAAAAGTTAGGAAGAGTTTCAAAATCTATTTATTTGAGTCATCTGTTTTTCCATTTCAAGCATTGACTGGATAGAAAGTTCTTTGTCTTTTATCCCTGATCTTTTTATCTATGTGTTTTCAAGTCCAGTCTATTATAATTATGTAACGCTTGCATGGATCTGTTGTACTCGATTTCATTTCCATACCATTTTCGAATGGATTGGTGATCAAATTATCCCATTGAAACATCGGTGTAAATCCGCTAGTAATATTAAAGTCTGGTTCATTTTCTTATTAGTGAATCTTATCATTCGTGATTGTAATAAAGGCTTCACTCATAGGATACGTCACAAGAATATAATGTTGAAATATACATTTATAAGGAATAATTTGGATATTGTAGGAAGTATTTGAAAAAAGCATAACCAGTGTTAAGTTATCCTCTAAGGTTTGTTGTAAATAATAAACCGTCAATAAGGTAGACCATATAATGGATATCGTAACGGCCGCTATCTGTAAAATGACCCTAATTTTAGGGAACAAATTTGAATCCATGAGAGGGATGGGAACAATTCCTGATGGTTCAACATCAGGTGTAACAAGTGCGGGTGCATCAATGGTTCTTGATGATGAGAAACAAGGAAGGAGGTAGTTTATCTTTATTTATTTAATTTTATCAAAATAGTGATTATCTTGAAATTCTTTGAATTATTTTTGTTTTAACATAAAGCAAGGTTCATAGTAATATCTGAATTCAGTTACCTAATAATCATATGAAAATCCTTTCCTGTAGCGGGTTATGTCGATCTGAAATTTTAACAACAAGGTGTTTGCGAATACATTAAACTGTAGGTGGTCTGATCGAAATTATCAATTTCAATTTCTTAATTTGTTGTATTTAACCATTTTCTATCTGTTTGTCTATTATTAACCACGCAGATCGTTTCATTTATTTAAGGAAGGAAATATTATCGGATTTAAATTTATATAATTTTTTTAAATGTTTGATAAAAGTATAGCAAATTGAAATCATAGTTCTATATATATATATATATATATATATATTGATGTTATTATCATTTCATCAAATACATAAATTCTTTGAAATCTTCAAATACCTTTCTGATGTTCGAAAAATAAAAATTGAAAATTAATAAATTCGAAAATGAAATTGCATTATGCGGTATCATTTCCAATTGTATGAAAGTCGTTCTTATAAATATCACTGAAGTATAAGATCAGAGCATTTGCTCTCTTGAAAAATAAGTTTTATTTCATTCAATTTCATCAAAGAAATAAATCTTTTTCAACACCAGTAAGTTAGATTCTTGTTTTGCTCCTTGACCTTTTATAATTTGTGGATCATGGCATACTTATAACGATATATCATCCACCCGCCTTTCTAGAAAAGAATTCATTCAATAAGAGCTGATTGTAGCTAGTTAGACTACTCAAGTTTGATGGCTATGTTGGGATTAAAGAGTTTACTTATTTATTTAATTTTACCGGACGACCAAACAGTTTATGCATCTTCTGATCATGACGGGTTAGTGTTAATATGAATTTAGTCTTCTCTACCTATTTATTATTTCCAATGAATTTTATGATCTATTGTGTATATGTTCAGGATCAGATTAAATATGCTTATTTTTTCATAAAAGTATTACGTTTCTTCTATAAAAATTGATTTACATTAGTTTCTGAAATGATGTGAAATTTACACATCAATTAAGAATTTCACTGATAGCTATTGTTCTATCTAATCAAACTACGTAAATTATTTATAGTCGATAAATCAAATGGTTCAAATTCTTGGTTCAGACAGAAGTTATCCATATATTCAAAAAACCAGTTTTGATATTCTAACCTATCTATCGTTTCAAATTTTTTGATATTTGTTTGAGTTAATAAGTCATTCTTAGAAGTAGCCATTAACTGATAAATTAGCAAAAGTTGCTGATAACTGTAATTTTATTGCAGTGAAATAATAGGAAATGAAAATAATCGAAATCGAACTGATGAAGAACTTCTTGAAGAGATTATCAGTCAGTTGAAATGTAAAAAATACAATGAAGTGCATAGTCTGATAATTGCTGCAACCGATCGTTTTATTGCCAGTATTTATCGGAAACTGTTTCGAACAGTCTTCAAGGAATATGACAAAGATTTTAGTGAAAGTGGTATTTCTGATCCCATTCTGGAAAGTGTTTTGATACTGTTGAAATCATATGGAACTACAAAGGACAAGTACGTTTAAGTTAGTTTTGTTAGTTATAGAAATGTTAGCTGTTTGATACTTAAAATATTTTGCAAAAATGCATATGGTATGGGAAATTGGATATTTTTCGGATTTAAACTAATTTTCAACCCATTATAATCAGTTTTAAAGAATTTATTTTTTAATGCTTATTTTATATATTGGCCTCTATACTAACGAAAATTTTAGACTGTCTGTTCTACTTGATTGTTCTGATCAAGCTAATTCATGGAAAGCATTTATTATGCTTGGAAGCTTTATGGAAGAAATAATGCCAGAGATGGTGGATCTCAGCGAGCAGTGAGTCGTTTTTCTTCTGGAATACTTTTCACTCCAAATTGTTACGACGATAATACATTTTTTGTTTCCAAAGTATTTTTGATTGAATTTATACGTTTGCGTGATAGTATTATTCTTATTTATCCAAGTCTTTGTTAGCTTACTTTACCATCGTATAGCTTTATTTATTCGATCAGTATTCTGGTTCAATTTTTACTTCCTTACCTGAGAAAAGTTTATTATTCCGTTTATTTTATGTTCTTTCGTCTGACCCAAAAAGAAACTATATAAATTGTAGTTTCTGAAACAAATTATACTGCTTTAATAAACAGTGTAGTTACTTGGAAAACAATGAAAATGATAGAGAGATATGGAGTTTATGTTAAATTTGGCTTCGTTTTATATAATTTCAAATTTAGTTTCATCTACGACATTATAAAAGTTTATATTCCGTCATGGATTGAACGATTCGAGAAAAATGTCGTGTTAAATTATTCAAGCGATCAGTTAAACAAGGAATATTTTTCGAATCTTGAAGCTGATTATTTGGATCAAAACTACGATCCAGTATTGCCAGATGCATCTTCTGATCTTTTTTTAGCAGCTGTGTTTATGTTTTTACGAATTTTTACGTAAGTTCTAAACTGTTATTTTCTTTTGCAGAAATTTTAGGATTTAAGCTATGGACGATCTATCGAGTTATTTTCATTGAACAAATTTTATCAATTGATATCATCATTCTTTTGTAATCTAAGTAAGTAGGGATCTGTTTTGGTCTTTATTTATAGCAGGATAATTGTTCATTGTATCTTTTGCTTAAAATTCTTGTTTACATGACCTATTTTCTAGTTTATCGATGAGTACAAACTATGAATTGTTGGATGAGCTGTTCAATAAAGTGTTAGCATGCACACATATAGAGAGTCATTATATGGAAGTACTTATTATGAAATTGGATGAAATTTACAAATTTTCCGTCCAGCGATTGCCACTCAATACCCCTGTTTTGATCAATTCTTTGAAGTAAGTACTTTGTAGAAGTTATAATGCTTAAGGCAAATGATCAGTTATGGTAATCCTATCCTGTAATCGTTTTCATCATTTATCACTGAATTTAAGAAATCTAAGTTTCTCCATAGTTTCATTAGTTAATTCCATTTGTATACTTTTCTTTTTCTATGTCACAATGATGAGTGGGAATTGCAAGTATAAGAAAATGAAAAGATCTATGAGGACAGCGTAATTTGTGTCTGATAAGCTTAGATGTAATTCTATTTTTAGATCGAGGTATTATTCACTTCCACAAGTATATGCACCTGAATATTATCTTAAACTTGCTATTCGTCCACTTCGTTATTCGCTGCATATTTCAACTGCAAATATGTTCAACATTGGTTATGTAGTACTAGTACTGCGAAACTGTTTGGTTTCTATCAAGAATGAATCTATAGGACGAAATCAGTGTCCATTTTTCTTGGTATAATTCAAGAAATTTCTGATAAGCTTGTTTTTATAGGACTTGCTTAATAAGTTTTAAAATTGGGAGTGATTTTCGATTATGCATGTACTTCGAAAATCTTGAACACTAATACTTTTGTATGTCATTAGGAAAAGGTAATGCGTGATATCCTTTCGAATTCCATTTGTTCAGCTGTTTTCAACTGCAGAAATTTCTTGCCGATTTTTTACCATGCTGTGAGGAAAGCACTTTATGTGAAGTGCGAGTGGTATGCATGGATACTTTCAAAATATTCTTGTCGAAATTCGAACCAGTAGCTCAATTACTTATCATCCGAAAATTGTTCAGCATGATTCGAGAAGGCAAAATACAGTGAGTTATGATGCATTACAATCCAGAAATATAACAAATTACTTGAAAAAATAGAAGTTAGAGATGTAAAAGAGATGTAAAAGAGATGTAAAAGATATATAAACATATCATACTTAGAGATGTAAAAGATGTAAAAGAGTTAGAGATGTAAAAGATATATAAACATATCATACTTTACAAGAAATTATCATACATCGTATATTAAAGAATATACATAGTTAAGTTAGCCTTCATAATTGTGGGAAATAAACGTCGTTACCAATTCTTGCTTTTTGTTCTAAATTCTTGTTACATCTTAAAATATTGAGCTTATATAATTTTTAGTAAAAATTTCTTTGAAGCTCTTTGCCATCATATTCTTATCATGATTTTTTTCAGAAGGAAAAATCTTCACGAAATCAATATTAACGATGAAAAATCGTAATTCTTTAACTTTGTTTTTTTTTTTTCTTAATTTTGCAGGGTACATGAAACTCAGTATTTTTATTAAATATTGCTTTTTTGAAAAGTTGTTATTAATGTGAATCGTTTTGTTAAATCTAGTCGTTAAAGTTACAACTTCAGTGGGTTTTATTCGTATCCCTCACTTGTTCAATGCCATAGAAGTTCATAATTTCATAATTCAACACAATATAACACCATACGCTGGTTCATTTGAAAAGCAAATGTTGTTCAAAATTGTGTATTCGTGAAGACTACAGTTGCTTGAGACTGTTGCTTTATTTCAGATTAAAATTCGAGCCACATTTTTTTGCATGGATTGTCGATTTGTTTCGTTCCAAGTTTAATTACGAGGTGTTTCGTAGAGAACTTGATTATTTTTGGGGTGATATAGTCAGTATACGTTATTCATGTCTCAGTGATGGATTGCAGTACTACTTATCTGTCTTCATATTTGCTCAGGAACAGGCGTTGCGTAGAATAAATCCGGAATTGATGTTAAATATTTATAAGCATTATCTTCAACCCTTACAGGTATTCCTAAGATTATTGAAAATTCTTCTCGAAAAATTCCTATCGAAGACTTGATGATAAATTTAAAATTTTGAGTTTTTAGAATATTAAGTAGAGTCTTATTTAATTTTTTATGTGAAAATTTAGCGATTCCTAGGCTTCCGAGCTTTCTTACTATCTTTTCTTAAGGAGAAAATGTTAAGTGCACTGTGATCTTTCATGATGAATTTTGAAGTAAATTAAGCTTTGCTATAACTTTGACAGTTTCGATATAGAAGTTATCAAATGAAATGCGTAAATAGCAAGTTTGTATTACAGATTACTAAGATTTCAATTACTCATTAGTAAGCCACTTTTTGGATTGCAGTTGTGTTATTTATAATTGATTCTTGCAGATATTATTTGTTTATTATCGGATATCCATTGTTTTACAATTAATTATCTAGCTTGTTTTGTTTCTAGTCGCAAATATCAGATTGGACGGAGTTGGTGAAAACCGAGGAACGACAGATAAATCATGGAAATCTTGCAGTGTCTGCCGATCAACTAGCTGCTAATATGGAACGTTTAGAAAGTGAAGCCCGTCGACAGCAGGATAGCCAGTCACTACCACTGCTTCAGTTTCAGTGTTCAGAAACTTTGAACTTTGTTGCAACTTTTCTGCGTAACGTACATATGCTATAACCGGTGAATCTTATGGAACATCATCGATTATATGTTGAAACTTTTTCAGTGGTAACGAAATCTTTTTCATGACTTCCGGAATTCATATTTGAGTTTCTCTTTCTGATTAGATTTGCAATATTCCTCTTGCTTTCTGGCCAAATAAAGTCAGTTTCTGATTATTGAATTTTCTCGCGCATTTCTTTAAATTGACAAAAATTAATCGATCTGTCTTATGAGTGTTTGCTATTCGAACAAGATAAGAGATTGTTGAAGACATAGATAGAATTTATGATCTCTAGCCGAAATATCTCAGGCCATTTTTTTGAAAATTTATCCGCTAAAATTATTTTTCATTTGTATTATCTGGTTTTTCTTGATCATACATAACACCTGTAATTAACGTTTAAATCAGTTAGACTGACTGATAAAATATGAAATGCGAATAAGATACTGATGAGAATGTAATAAGATGTTCTTCGTAAATGGTTTTTGAGTGTCTTTAAATTGTATGTGAAGATTAACTTATGCTTCACAATTATTCTACGCTGATGATTATCCTGAAGAGATATCATGTTGTGAAATAGTCCTATAAATGAGAAGCATTAATGATCATTATATCATACATTCTATCATTACAAAATTCAGATACATACTGTTCTTTCATGGTTATTCGATATGCAATGGCAGAATACTCTTTTTGACCTATATTTTTCTCTTTCCTTTAAATTTCTGTGTGGTATGTTTGTATTGTTATAATTTTCCGATTTTGTATATAAATATTTTTGTATTACGGTTTCTCTTACTTTCAATTCAATTCCTCAGTTGTTACAATACGTATAGTAATCAGGTATTTGTAACTCAGTATATTCATTTCTGAGTAAAATATCCGCGGTATTGCTTGAGATAAACTTCAGTACTTGATTTAAAAAAAAAAAAACTGATTTACTGAATGCATTATTGATTCCATTTACGATTCTGAAAATAACCAGATGTCAAATGTGGTGTTTTTTTGATTTGGGAAAGATGTGGGTATTAATTACGTGTGATTTTTTCGAAAATACTTTAGTGCAACAATCCTTTAAATCTTGACCATTACCTCCTACAGATTGTTTCCATTAAATAAATGGTAATTAATAACATTAAATAAATGATAATTAAGAAATTAAGAAATTCTCGGCTATATAGAAATAATAATAGTTACGTATCTAATTTTGTACATACGAAGAATTCTTGATACATTCTCTCAAATGTTCCATTCTTTATTTGTTTTAATTATTTCTTAAGTTTGATATAAAATGAAATCTTTTTCAAATTTAATTAAAATTAAAATATTAATTAAAAAAAAAAAGGAATGAAAGAAATGCATAAGAATATAAACCTTAATTATCATCGTACAGTTTCACTTTAACATTATTGATGAGCTTATTATAGCACATGAGAACATCCTTAATACCCGCACTTTAGGTTCTACCGATGATGCCTATAGCTTCTGCAAAAATTATTACAATCGATAAGTAAATCAATAATTTTTTCATTGTTATCAGTGTTGATAAGGAATGATAATTTTTCCAATGCTAAATCTTATTGTTTAAAATATTTAGAGTTTAAATTAAATAAATTATAAAAGTACTGAACAAAAAGTGAAGTATGAATGAGTTGAATTAAAACTTTGAACTAAAATAAATCAATCAAAGAACTGAATTAAAACTTTGAACTAAAATAAATCGTTCGTAGTAAATCAAATTGAAATTAAAATTAAATTTGAATAATAACTAATAATACCATTGCTTATAAGAATTAATGAAATAAATAGAAAAATCAAAAATGAAATAAAATATTAAAATTTTTAAATTTAATTGATTTTAACATATCTTTCAGACAATTATCATATTGTTGTGTAATGTAATGATTCCTAAAAGTACAAATATCAAATTTAAAAATTAAATTAAAATACGAAAAGTACGTTGAAATCAATCAAATTCAAATTCAAAGGATCGAATTCTCTCTTATATTAAAGTACAAATAATTAATGAACAAATTTTTTTGTGAAGAAAATGAATTGAATAAAATAAAACCAAAATGAAATGAAATTAATTAAAACCTGGATGGTTATTCTTATTTAAAACAAATAAAATAATTATTTATAAAAAATCATTTGATAATCGATTTTAGAAGTTTTTTTAATTTTTGTAATTTTAATTATTGTGTAATATTTTAGATACTTCCTCCAGTCACTACTAAATTAATGTCATAGGTCAACTGAAAAAAAAGATCGTTGTTTGATTGAATGAACAAAGGTAAGCATCAAATTTACTAACTGTTAACAACACTTCAAATATTCTTCATAAATGATATTTTTGTTGTGAAAATATTAATAACGATATAACAATAAAAGTCAGTTATCATTTGTGAAAAAAAAACAATGATATGATGATAAAGTCAGTTATCACTTGTGATAAAAATTATGATATGATAATAAAGGTCAGTTATCATTAATGAATTTATATATATATATATATATATGCAGATGAAAATCCTTTTAAAATTATTAGTGAAATTAAAGTAAAAAAATTTTTGAAAAATTTCTATTAAATATACAAAACGCTTAAAAACTTTTTTTGTGATAAGCGAAATATTTAGTTGTTAAAAAGATTATCATATCAGTAATATCAAATTACAACATGATAAATTCTTTTTTTTTTTAACTGAAAAACAAAACAATTTTAAAAAGACCAAAAAGTGAAAAGATTATCAGAAAAATAGAAGCAAACGATTTTATCATTTATCAACGAAAAAGAAGCAAGCGAATTTATCATTAATTTTATCATTAGATGATTTTATCATTTATCAACGAAATAAAAGAAACAAGCGATTTTATCATTAATTTTATCATTAAGTGATTTTATCATTTACCAACGAAAAAAAGCAAACGAACTTATCATTAATTTTATCATTAAATAATTTTATCATTTATCAACGAAAAAAAAGAAGCAGGCAAATTTATCATTAATTTGAGTGGTAGCAGTAGTGCTGGTTGCACAGTTCATTAAATGCAAAACTTTCCATATGAATTGTAAAATTTATTATTGTTAATGTGTATACCGGTTTCTTCATTCGTTTAACATTTCAATTATTTGGAAATGATAATTAATTTCTATTGCTTATAATTTTAAAGTAGTAATTAGTAATTCTATGCAAATGTTTTAATTAAAATATTATTTTTTTTTCAATTTTATTTTTAGAGTTTTCGAAATTATACAAATTATAAACTTTCAAATGAATGATTTTTCGATTTCTAGAAATTTTTCATATTTGTTAATTAATCAATTCATTAACCTATCATTGATTACAAGCGGAAATGGTGATATCAGCAAGAAATTAGATTAAAACAATAAATAAAGTAATTTCATCAATCTTTTAAATGCCAAATACTATGATAAAAATGTGATAGCAGAACTTCAAATATTACCATTACCTTATTCAAATTTTAAATATCTTTATTATTGAAAATAAAGCATGCTCTGATTTCAATTCTATTTTCATTGAAAGTTTATTAGCAATTGCAGAACCATAGATTCGTCTATGTTATCAGTGATAATTACTGATAAGTTTGATCCGAAAATTTTTGCATTCTATATAAATTTATTTTTGATCTAAAATCTTCATTTAAAATTATTTGAAATAAATTTACTTTTTATCAAAAACTTTTTTATCGAAATATTTTTTTTTAAACTTAAAAATTTTTTAGTTTTCTTTACTCATTAATATTTCTCAATGTTAATCTAACAAAGAATAAATTAAATTCTAATTAATATCATTTTTGGTGATATCATTCGATTTGGGGTTAAGTTTGGGGTCAAAACGAGTATTGAAAATCAAATGAGGCTAATTTTTTGTGATAAATTAGCATCAAAATGATTTCATTTTAAATAAATAAACCCTGCTTTTATAAAATATGCAATTTTTTTTGTTAAACTCAGAAATTTAAATTAAAACAAAGAAAATTCATTTGTCATCATTTTGGTTGGTAGGAATAAAATGATTGAAATGGAAAAAAAGAAGGAAGAAAACGAATTATTAATTCTTAGTAAACATATGCAGCATAAATGTAGGAAACAATAATAATGATAGATAGAAATAAGATATGATTATGAAATAGGATTTCAGTATGAAATGGTATTAATAAGATGTAATCGATATGCTGAAAGTGATAATCAATCATCATTGAAGATAATGGATCTAATAAAATGACCATTGCAAATGCCTCATATTAAGATGACTTTTGAATAATTATTTATCGATGGATCAGATTTGGCCATTTAATTTTTCTCTTCTGAAACTTTTACCCGTTTAAACGGAAAGATTCTGAAGGAACCATATAAATTCATTCGTCATCGTTGGTAACTGATTCAGTGATATTTAAAACTAAATTAAACATAATTTTCATTAATCAACAAAAGTAAATTAATTAAATTAATTAAAAATGTAAATTTGCAACATACTGACAACGTAAAAATTTTTATGATGGAATTATATCTATGAGTGATAAATTAGAGCATATGAAATTGCAAATTTAAATTTTTGAATTTATTATCAACCTCATTCAGCAACTGCAATCTTCGCGATCTTCTTCCATTCCTTCTTATAGATTTGAACTTCGTTCTGCTACTAACCATAAACAATTTCTTTTTCAAATGCAATGGGTCTACAGCCGATAATGTAAACAGTCTAAGGTATCAATTTTAGATTAATCTCATAAATTTAAATAATTTTTGTTATCAAATGAAAATTCTCACTCAAATGAATTTTTCATTTTGCTAAAAGAAAAAAATGATAAGATATGATAATTGATTTTTCCTTTTCTTAAATTTAATTTACAAAAATATTAAAAATAGATATGCAAAGTTTGGAGTTTGATTAATTCTATTAATCATATTTGAAATATATTATTTTAATGTGTTGAAATTTTAGTTAGACTTTTTGCGATAATGCGATAACAATCAGAATTTTGTACTCTA